ATTTTTTAATGGGTTTGTAATCAACATCGGTTGGATACAACCATGGTCAGTGATTAGAAACGTAAGATGACATAGCTCAGAATCCCCGAATACCTATTTCTATAAGTTATTACAGATTTTACATGTAGAATTTAATTAGATTGGCCGTTTGTCACAAAATCCCATGAAACAATATGATAGATGGGTATTAGAATAAATACATTGCACACTAGACTAGATAATACAACTCGAAATACTAAACCGCAATGTTATATGCGAGAATATAAGACTACTGGACTAGGTTATGCTATACACAAGTACACAATTCAACCGATCATTGAGAAACTGATTCTAGAGGTGGAATAATTTATTCACTCAAAGTACAAGTAGTCCACACACAGTGAACCTAGAACTAAAATCCCAAGACAGTTACAATACATAAATAGTGAATGGTATTACAGATTATGTAGCGGACGTCTATTCATCTGTACTCAAAGATCAATCATGAGTTACTGTAGCATTGGTTTATTGAAAAAGAACCAAATATCCGTGTTTCCTGAGGTAGAATTTTTTTACCCAATTATTGAATTATCGAGATTCCTTGACAGAATATGTGATATAATTATCTGTTAAACTCTACTTCGCTGGAAAATGAATAAATCTTTACATGACTCCTTACCCAATAAAAATTATCTGAAGAATGATGAAAAGAAATTTTCTAATACAACAATTGACTGTTACTTAGTGAGCAACTTATGAGATATAATAACACCTAGATAGTGAGTAGGCATAGTAACTGTGACATCAGATTAATTCTTTCTCAAATTGTTCGTTTATTCTAGTTATTAAAATTTGAAAATACGAATAAACACTGAACTGGCTAATTAACTACTGTTACTGATGAAAAATACGACGAAATATGAATAAGGATTAATGGTTCTTAAATCTGGTATTGTGAACTTTCCTCAGGGAGTTAAAAGCTCTTCCAAACAACAATCCGAGAAAAAGTATATTCTGACTGAAACTATGATCAGAAATTATTTCCTAGTAATTGTAGAAAATGTTTTCCATAGACAATTATTCAGCTTTCATTCATAAACTGGTAAATTATCAACAGTTCAAACACGGCCAATAATCCTAGTCAGAAACTTCAGGTTTTGTGGAGATAATATTACTTTTAGACTACTTATTTGTCATTGAATGGCCTATATTTTCATTTTTAGTAAATCAGCGATGTGATCCAATTGTCACTCGTTGTTTTGTTAACCTAAGTGGCTCTGTTTTCTGAATTAATATTCATTCTCTATTGGTTTGTATATTAACTTCGTCAATTATTTACTTAATTCAATGTTTTACTACATATTATGTAATACTGATCACTTTGTTACTTCTTTAAACATATGTTATTTACAATTCTAACGATTGGATATTGGACATTGATTGTATTTTGTTTGCAATAAAAACCTTGAAGAGATAGAATAGTCAAATAAAGTTCTTTGTTTTAAGTTTATCAGAAAATTTAAAAACGTATTGAAAATAAAAATAAAACTTTATTTATTCGATGAATTTATTGATTGGCAATAAAAATTATTTATCAAGCAATGCAATTACATACAATGAGAATGATCCAAGTTAATGTAGTAAGCTACAACAATTTACATGTTATAATTCATTCAACTCAGATAACTGATATGATTTAGATAGAAAGTAAAAAAAAAAACATTTATACATTGATTACTTACTTACTTTACTTACGCCTGTTATTCCCAATGGAGAATAGGCCACCGACCAGCATTCTCCAACCCACTCTGTCCTGGGCCTTCCTTTATAGTTCTATCCAATTGTTGTCCATTTTTCTCATGTCTGTTTCCATTTCTCGAAGTAATGTGTTCTTTTGTCTTCCTCCTTACTTTGTCCTTCAGGATTCCATGTGAGGACTTGCCTTGTGACGCAGTTGGGTGCTTTCCTCAATGTGTGTCCTATCCACTTCCAGCGCTTCTTTCAGACTTCTGCTACCGCTAAAATTTGGTTTGTTCTCTCCCACAATAGGTTGTCTGGCCAACGGATCTGAAGTATTTTGCGTAGACAACTGTTAATAAACATCTGTATCTTCTGGATGGTGGCTTTCGTAGTTCTCCAGATTTCCACCCCATACAGTAGAACTGTCTTGACATTCGTATTGGAAATTCTGACTTTGGTGTTAGTTGACAGTTGTTTTGAGTTCCAGATGTTTTTCAGTTGTAAATATGTTGCTCTTGCATTGCCGATCCGCGCCTTTACATCTGCATCAGATCCACTGTGTTCATCAATGATACTGCCTAGACATGTAAAGGTTTTAACATCTTCTAAATCTTCTGCGTGAAGTGTGATTGGACTAGTGCATGTTGTGTTGTATCGGAGAACCTTGCTTTTCTCTTTGTGTATGTTGAAACCTACTGCTGCTAAGGCTGCTGCTACACTGGTCGTATTCTCCTGCATTTGTTGTTGCGTGTGCGATAGATGAGCCATATCATCTGCGAAGTCTAGATCATCCAGCCGCATCCTATCTGTCCACTGTATCCCATGCTTCCCTCAGTTGTTGACATTCCCATGATACAGTCGATCATCAGGAGAAATAGAAAGGGTGAGAGTAAGCAACCTCGCCTGACGTTATACATTGATGATATGCCTTAATTTTTGGTCAATATTTGCTAGTTGCGAAATTAAAGGATCATTAGTGGTTGTTCTGTGTTTTTCATTGGATAAATAGTTTACTTATTTTAAGTTAATTGAATATTTTTATACAGATTTATTTGAATGCAATATTTTTAGTCAAATGAAAATGTCTATCCTTTAAAAGCTGTTCAGTGGATAGCTAGAAGAGTAGGGGTGAGCTTGAATGTATGTTTTGTAAGCGATTTTGAATAATTCTACAAATGTAGTCATTTCATTAATCTTAATTAATTAATTATTCAATCAGAATAATAATAAAAATCTGAAATTACATAAGGGTCGAAGAGTGATAAAAGTAATATAAACCAAATAGAAAGTCAAGATTCAGGAGCAAATTGTAAATTAAAGCTGCCTTACTTCATATAAACTACACCTGAAAATATATATGTCGAGTTATTTTAAAATAGACAATTGAACATTTTGAGGCAAAGCATTAATAGTTTGCCATGATTTCATCTAAATGCAAATGGATATAATGAACACCTTAAATTTCTAAGAAATCATACTTTCAGTCTTCAGTTTCCCTCATCGTTAAATATCTTAAGTAACTTGGTATATTCCTAATTCATTTCGAACTCATCAAACATTCCTCCTCTTTCAAATGGGATTGGACTCAGGACCTGGAGGTCTCGTGACGAGCACGAAACTGTAGGCAGATAGGGAGTTAACAAATGTAGGAAAAAGTTGGGTACAAGAAATAGAAAATATAAGCGAATACTTAAAACTTTTTAATCATCTGAGTTGGTTGATGGGTGCCGTCAATAAATTATTTACTAAATTTCAACTTAGTGTAACTAAATACAGGCTTGTTGAACTGTGAATGCTATTCCACTGACCTTTATTGACATTGAAAGTGACTTTGATATTATCAGCCAGTAAGTTTACAAACGGTCGAAATAAGGAATATTGATAAAAAAGTAATGAAAATAACATACATGTTGTGGTTTTACTTAGCTTATGAGATTTCAAGGTCCATAAATAAATACTAAAGAAAATCAGTATATATTTGGGTTATTTATCATACTACAAATACTTCAACAAACATCTCATAGTTTTAACAATATTTGTGCACACTTGCTGAATTGTCGACGAAATGATGTTCAATCTAAGAACCACGTAAATGAAATTAGTAACTTGTGAAAGCAATCTGTATGACACACTCGAACCAGTAATAAAACGATTTGAGGGTTTGATTCATACGAAAATAAAGCAAAAACTATAACATTTCATCATTTAGTGTTAAGATTAGAGGCATTGAGTTAGTACTACGATTTGAGGTTATGCTTACGGGTTTTAGTTATGAGTAATTGTTAAGAATAGATTGACAACATACTTCTGGGTATATCAATGACCACGGATTTCAAGAACCCTTAGTTATCCTCAAGACTTCAAAAACTATGGTTTGTATTGCATTAATCCCCTGATTTTCATCAATTTCACGCATCTTATTAACTGAATATTAGTAGGTACTATTTAGCTCTTAATAAGCTGTAAGTTTATCCATCCACTTTTCAATATTCAATAAGTATGTAGTTTGCACTTTCAAACACTTTTCCGTTCTTTTACAGTACATGCTGCCTATGGAGATGTAACGTGCATTGAAGATTTCATTTCAAGCTCTAACTTTCATAATATTTGTGTTTTTCATCCACCGTGTTGAAATGCTCTACAAAGACGTGTTCATAGAAGACAGATGTGAATAACTTCAGATGCTTGAAACGAAATCTCCAGTGACAGTTGTGATCTTAGATACAGCACTTATCCACTGAATGAACGAAAATAAAACACACTGCACGATTGTTGAACTGTGAAAAGCGGAGAGATAAAATCTACGATTTGAATTTCGCACAGAAATGCAAAAGCCAGTTTTGATAAATCTCATTGGCTTATCAGAAAGTATATTTTTTACCGAAGTGTGTGTTTCCTTTAATTGTGCTGTCACATAATATTACTTTCTTTTTAGTATAGGACAATAAATTTCTTTGTATTCCTCCGAGACATTCATAGGCTAAATGAGCTAATTTCTACCAGAGACCTGGAATCCCCAACATTGATAATGATTCACTTGGCAGTTTTTCCTTGTATACTTATGTTTAGACAAAACTTCGTGATCAAATTCTGATGATAGTATTCCGGTGTCTAAACTGACGTAGACATGAGTTGGAGTGGGAAGTGTGTTAAGAACCTTCATTTCAGTGGTAATAAGACAAGTCCACTTAACCAAAAAACCACAGATTCTTATTACTATATCAACAACAATGAAGAATAACAGTGATAACAATAAATACTAATCAAATGAAATATCTTACCTGTTTAATGATAGATTCTGTTTATCAACCGATTTTTCCATATAAACATTTTGCTGTTGATTAACTGAACATTTATCTTTTTGTAATTCATAATCATGTTGCAATAATTTATTATTATTTATTCCATCCACTGTATCAGTATCATTTGTATTCATTAAATGTTGAAATACTTCCTGAACATCTTTTGGTATATTAATGCTTTGATTTGGTCTAATAGTTATCGAAGTTGTTGTTGGTGGTGGTGGTGGTGTTGCTGTTATTGATAAACGATTATTTGACTGATGACTTTGATTGCAAGGTACTGAGAACAATGATGAAGTAGATCTACATAATGGTTTAATATCTAATACGGTCTTATAACTGACAGTTGGCTGGTTTTGGTGTTGTCCTTGTTGTTGTACATGATTCTTTTCATTTTCAACATTATTTATCATCGTCTCATTATCATGGAATAGTAAGCCTGAAGAATTGGAATTCAGTAAATGACTCATATCGGTAGTAAGTGGAGTAGTAGTTGTCACTTCATTCCTTACATTTAATTGTGTTCTAATATGTTGAATTGCATTTTTGATTTGATCCTTTACAACATAATGATTATGCATAAAATAAATAAGAACAAATAAGTATTATAGAAAAATAAAAGATATTCAAATTAGAATAATTTATTTATAAGTTTACTATATAATGAGATGGGTGTTCTATTTATACTACTTTCAGTAGTATTCTTCATAAGATTTTGAGGAAAATAAATTCCGAAATAAACCATTACTTCAACCGGTCAATAGAATATAACATTAAAATATAAAGATATTCATTTCCTTTCATAACAGGTAGTGAATTTGGGCGACCAACTAAACTAGGAAATATATAAATACTTCACCATACAAACACAACATTAACTATAAGTAATCAATCCACGATTAGTTGAAGTCAGACAACACCGTTGGATGCCAGTTCAGTGGTTGAGAGGTTAAACATTCGTGATCCAGACCGAAGGTCCTGGGCTCGAATCCGGCATGTGAGATCGTGGGTGCGCACTGCCGGGGAATTCCATACTAAGACGAAACGGCCATCTAGTGCTTTCAGGTTTTCAATGGTGGTCTAACATTGATCGATTCATGATTTCAATCAAAAACTCAATAATCCCACATTGATATAAGTAGTCAGTTTAATAGTGGGAAGTATACAATCGTCAGTTATAGCTCATTTCATAGAGCTATTGGCTACAGATCGTTAAGATTATATGAAAACAAATGCTTATCATATTCAACAAATTATACTGAATCAGAAATATTTAAAGACTGTTGTTTAGTACTTTCTTCTATTTTCATTTGAATTAATTTCTAAAATTTACTCATGTTGAATAGTCAGATTAATGTTCTATATCTCACAAGATTCAATCTATGTTTCACCATAATTCTGGAAATACTGACTAATTTCATTTAATTATCAAAATAATAAAACAGAACTTTGAACGTTCAGTAAAACAAAATCAGAATATTTTATCTTGAACTAAACAACTGTTCTCTGTTATCATCATCAGTACATCATAAAAACTAGTTACAAATAAATTACTGGACTTATACATATACATATAAGATTTAAAAGTTATACTGAAGGCACAAGTATTTATATGATGATTTGAATAAATATTATTGTTTAGGATCATAAACATATCAATGAGTAACTGCGGGAAAATAGGTTTTCATTTTATAAATTTATGAACTATAAAGTTTCCATGTTTTTTTTATCTAATCAAGCTTGATTATTCTAGTTGTTTTGATCGATGACATAAATAGAAATCAAAAACCTCGACAGAGTCTGATAAATGGAATGAAAGTGAAGCAAGATTTAGTTGATCAAATGATAGAATCCCTAAAGAAAATAACTAAAAGATAATGAATTATCGTCTGTTATAGCAGTCTACAAAGAAATTATTCTTATAAGCGATTTTATTTCATTAGTGTTTGAAAATAACCAGCAAGATAATGAACTATGTGTTGCCCTACTCAGAAGCCATTATTTGAGGAAATGAATATTGTCTGGCTCTAGTCAGTTAGATATTAGTTATAATTAACACAGAACATGGATTAGTCCGTATTAACTTAAGTTCCCACAATAAATCAGCAAAGAGGGCTGAAATTATCAAAGTGAATACTATAGCCCCGGAAGTAGTAAAAGCATCAAGGATAATGAAAGAGGTTAGACATAAAGGATAAGATCCAATAATAAAGAATGAATTTGCTGAATAAAATCTGGAAGACAATTTTAAAACTGAGGATCTAGGGGAATATCACAAATGAATGAATCTGTACAATTTTAGCCAGTTGAACACCATGTCTGCTAAAGCTACTACTGCCTCTGTTACTCCTCGTGGAGGAGCATAGTTTGCCTACAGGCATCCTACATCCAACTCTGTCTTGATCAATCGTTTACAGTTGCTATTCAGCCTTTTGATATCTGTTTTCCATTGCCGACACAGTGTTCTTCTTGGTCTCCTACTATTCCTTTTCCCTTCAGGATTCAAAGTTAGCGCTTGCCTCGCGATGCAGTTTGTTGATTTCCTCAATGTGTGTCCTATCCCCTTCCAGCGTCTTTCCCTAATTTCCTCTTCAACTGGAAGCTGGTTTATTCACTACCACAGTAGGTTGTTTCCAATGATATCCGATCAACGGACATTCAGTATCTTGCGTAGACAATTGGTTATAAATACTTGTACTTTTCTGACGATGGTTGTAGTAGTTCTCGAAGTTTCGGCTCCGTACAATGTAACTATCTCGATGTTGGCATTAAAGATTTTAAAGTTAATGCTGGAGTTTCTCCATCAAGTGTGATAGGGTTGGTGTTCTTTTTGTTGTATTTGAGGATCTTGCTTTTTCCACTGTGTATGTTGAGACTTACTGCTTCAGAGGCAGGTGCTGCACTGGCTGTCTTTATCTGTAGTTGTCGGTGGTGACCCGGTGAGATCCATGTAGCTTTGTGTGTTTGTGTGGGAATCTAAGGCCACCTATAACCATTTTATTGAACGCACATAAATTATATTACTCATATATATAAGATTATCAGGCTTTGTATCTTCCAAAAATCTTATATACTTCGTAGTCTGAATTCATTACATTTAATTATGTTTATTAGTGTAAGAGATGATAATAAGATATCAAGTTATTAACTAAGTGTAATACGATCGCTTCCTTAGGCCCCCATAGGAGGTGACAGGCTTAGGTAAGTAAGTAATATTATAGAACTTTCAGTTACCATTGGTAATGTTACTTAAAATGTTGCAATAGTCGAATATTGCGTAATTATATTAGGATTTTCGAAAATAAATTAATCAGTTTATAAAATGTAGCGCATATAAACGAAATAGAACATAAAGGACCTAACAAGTCAACTGATTGATTAAAACTTTGTATAGTTACAGAGATACTGATATATTATAGCCACAATAAATTATTCTCATAACTGAAGATGTTCTCACACATACACTATGTAGATCATTCTGGCCAAGTACAAATCCAAACTGAAATGAATAGTTGTATCCCCTATATCCGAAGAAGGCACTGCTGAAATTGTGCAGAAAGCCAATGGAAGCTGGGTAGTCTGATTGTCTAGGTTTATTGAACATAACGTCATGAGACTAAATGAAACAAATTTAATTTTTAACAGGAAAGATTCTATACTCCGATTTTCGTCTGTTATCCTATTGAGTTGACAAAAGATCCATACTCCATGTGACAATAGTTGAAACACTTTGTGTAGCATATTAAACATGATTTAAAGAACTTAACCAAACTATTATTGTCCCTCATTATCTCGAACAACAGAGAAAATTCTTAGCTACTTTTCAAAGATCTGTATACAACAGCATTCTCCTTTCCTAGTTTTAGCTATGCTAAAAGACAAATCTTTTAGGGGTTTATTTTTTTTAAAAACACAGATCAAAGGAAATTAATTCATATTGGCATTCATCTAATTATATGCTAATTACATTCAATGATTGTTAATTAAACAATTTATTAGAATAAACAAATGTCAATTGAAGTAAACAAAATTATAGTAAATTAATTAATACAATCAAACTTTGTTGAAAGCCACCGGAGAAAAAATCAATAAATTAATTAAAAGATTGATCTCTTTGTAATAAATTGTATTTGAAGAATTAATATTCCATCATAAGTAACATTTTAAGCAACGATGGAAAGCGGTTATCAGTAGAGTTCATACGTGCATTCCGTTCTATTTGAGACTCGTCAGTTCTATGTATCTGCATCCGAGTTGGTGTTCGCTCCGGGACTCGAACCCAGCACCATTAGCTTCAAATGCCATCTCGTTATCCACTTAGCTACTGAGTCCTGATGGCAACCTGCTTGTGCAATAGGGTGGAGTTTAAATTCACTTATATCTTCCCATTGTTATTTAGGATCGCAATTGATCAGTCTCTTGTTGGCATATGTGCATCCGAGTCCCGGAGTGAACATCAACTCTTGGATGCACGTACATCCATCTGACGAGTTCCAAATAGAACGAAATGCGCGTCTTAAATTCCACTGCTAGGCACCATCCATCTTAACTTAAAAAGCTTGTGACTTAAAGCTATGTCGAGGCAATCCGCACAGGATACGCAAATACCAATGAGTGACTGATCAATTGCAGTCCTAAATAACAACGGGAAGATACAAGTAAAACAACACCAACTGAATTATAAGTAACATTTGTTTATCATTGAAAAATTACGAAAAACATTTTCTATGATACATTGTTGTTGTAGAATTTTTTTCTTAAATAAATAAGTAATTTCGTAGCTATATAATATACCCTTGTGGGCCAGGGTAATCTTACATTGGTTTTCAGAAGAACCAGACACCATCCAGACTTTCACGTGACAACCCAAACAGTACAGTTCAATCCCGTTTCCAGGAGAACCAGACACCATTCAGGCTTAAATTTTATAACCCGAGCAATATAACTCAACCGTAATTCACAGAAGAAGCAGACACCATATAGGCTTTAACGCTACAATCTAAATAGTACAGCTCAATCCTGTAGCGCAACCACACAGATATCAAGCACCCTGGTGGATCAAAGTAATTTATATTCATATTAAACTATCATGATTTTAAAAATAACTTCTTATGATCATTTGTTATCAAAGTTAAGTAACACAAAGAAAAAGAAAAGAGAAATAACAGAAATTAGATCTCTTTTTTAACATTGTCCCATGGGATCCAATGAATTAAGTATTAAGTACTAGTTGTAATGTTCATTATCAAATATTTTCCCATTTATTCTCAAAGTTTGAAAAATAGCATGGTCGGATGACAGTAAAATTCGATGATTATGTGTTTCAAATTTTGAAATATTTAGTACGTCGTTAAAGAAACATCATAACAGATTGTATTTTATTAATGAATAAAGTTATTGTTTTATAATTAATCTACTCAGAATAGTAGTTACTAAAGTGATTTTATAAAAATAATGTTCAGTTTTAAAAGTAGATTTTAAGATAGAGTAAAATTTGTTGAAATACAACTGAAATCCGAAAAATACTAGAGAGCCACTTAGTTCCTACTGCTCAATTGTCTAACTGACCTCAAGGGGAGATGGTGAAACTATAATTTATAGATGAACTAATCAGGTATAAGACAACACGTCTCGGATTTTGGCACAAAATTCACTCGTCCATTTGGATAAATAGAGCTTATGTCAGTTCATGATGGAAATCTTAAATCTAATTCCTAACCTTAACCATCAACTGTAAATCATAATTCTGATTCCTCACACTGGTTTATAACCATCATTCAGTTTTAGTTAGTAGGTGGACATTTTCAAGGTCGATTTAGCGTCGCTCAAAGGTCGTCCATAAATTATAGTCTCACCGGGGTGAAACTATTTTTCAGGAATGATTTATAATTCTATAAATCATATTATCTCTTTTAACGGTATGCTAATATATATTGTGATCCTGATTCAAAATGATCAATGAGTTACTTCACCACTTTTAACTTGTTTAACTCCACAGGTCATGATTTTTTTATTGGAACTTCAAGAAATCTATATAAGCTAGTCATTAATAAACAAATATCTCGTAAAGATAGTATATCGTTTCGAAATCCATTATTCATAAGAATATAAAGATGGCGAATAAAGTTATAAGGAAATGAGTACCAGAAAGACTTGCTGACTGCTAAAGTAATATTAATTTCATACTAGGTGATGGGGGGCTTGGTAATGCCTAAACCACTAGTACGAATCTCATAAAATTCAAATTCCCTCCTCATTGTAATAAAAAAGGAAACTCAATTCATCGACCACATCTTAAATTAATTAAGGAATGATTGGCTCCGTACGTACGTTCACTAGTTCAAGTCGGTTTCAAATGAGATGGAAGGTACGAGATGAAAGATTAGTGTGATATAATAAAAACTGAGAAAATTTCGATATATCATATGACTCATTGATAAACTATCACTACAAACTCATTACCAATTAGGTCATGTGCCTCAGAATAGTACTGGTTCTGATTTCGACACGATAACAGTTTGGTCTAATATCTTAGATAAGAAGAAAAGTGTCGGTAAACATAAAAGTAGATAACGATTCTAAACTAGAACGTTAGAAGTAATAAATTGCTATGTCGTACAGTCATCCGTTTATGATATTAATGTACAAGCTTGCTATATGTATACTCAAACCAGGTAACTGAATGAGAAACCCAAGAATAGCAGGTAGTTTTTATTCACTAACAGAGCCGAGAATATATTTACAATTTATTCATGGATATAGATACATTTCATTCAAAAAATAAAACTACATTTCAACCAGTTGTGTATGTCTATTTAACAAGTACGTGAATCCAAATCTTGATCAATAGCGTGGACCCACCAGTATCTCCTATTTATCGTTCGAAATTCGTCTCATTCACCCACTATGTCATAAATTTAAATTTCTTAACTCATATTTCATTAGCCATGAATCTCCTATTTTTTTTAAAAATTTACAACACATTTCATCTAATTACTTATTTAAAAACAGTTTTAACATACTACTGAAATACAACTAAACTATTTCAAGAGTTAATTCAGTACGTGACATCTTTTAACAGAAGTATTTAGCTCAGTTTTTTAGTAGAAAATCAGATCAATAAAATCTATCAAAACTACAAAACCTACTTTGTTTGAAGAAAACCAATAAGAATGAAATACGATACTTAGATTTTCAATTTTATCATTATGATGTTATAATTGTACAAAAACAAACAGCTTATGATAAAACAATGGGAAAAATTAAATTTTATAGTTGAATCTTAGTTTCACTAACTAACGAATAATCTGCTAAATCCTACTATGTTACATACAATCAATTTGTTCTAAATGCTTTTGAATATTGCTCATTTTTATATTCATGTTACTAGGATATAATAACTTCGCAGTCAGATGTCCTAGTTTTTGATGTTTGTAGATAGATATTAGCGAGTAAAAAATAAAACAGTCAATCCGTAATTGTCAAATTAAAATGATTAAAACATAATTTATTGTTTACTAGACCTTGTTTGGACGTTTCTATAGAACGCCGGTTTGTTAAAGTGTTTGAAGGGAATTTTTGAATTCTGAAAACTTTTACGAAAAATTATCGTGGATCACTAACATTGAGCTGATATATTTTATTAAAATGATAAATAGTCCATGAAGGTTCAAATCTCCCAGGGATTATTCATCCTCATAAGATTTTGTATCGCCCCTGTCAAAAAGGATGAACTAGTATAAAACCTATATCTAAGTTTCCTAGAGATTAATTAATTGTGCAAGTAAGTTACTGATCAACATTCAGAATATAATACCACAATTTTGTAGGTAAATACTAGTAGGAATGTTAGGAACTCTCGAGAATTCCTCGAAAGAGTTTTCAGAAGCTACAGAGAGCTTAAAAATCCTTCATTCACTTGAAACTTTCCAAAGAGCTTTAGAAAAACAATGAGTTACTTATCAAATCTTGATTGTATAATTATCAATTTCTTCACTAAATTTAGCATATTTCTACAAGCTTCCACGATATCAGGGTCACGTACAAACCCATAAATATCCCTGTCTTCCGTACCTAAACTAACCTTGGAAGTTAAATATCTTTCTACACTTTCAGGGCTAAAGTACAGGATATTTCTGGGGAAATAATAAGCAACTGAAAAGTCAGTATCAAGTTTTTAAAAACCAAACCTATCAAAGAGGGACCCATACGAACTCTGTTAATAACTTGAGATTACTTGAAACATTTACATTTGTAATGTTATTTACTCTCATGACTCAGAATATTTCCAACAAATAAGTGAACTAAAAGAAACCTCTTTATTAAAAAATTAGATTAAATTTTCAACACTTTTGAAAACTACAAACCTTTAAATCTAAGAAAATGCCTAGAGAAATCAAAATGAATGTGGAGAATATGAGTACATGAATAAAAGCAAACAAGTACACAATCAATTTTTATTGATTTTTTCAACTGAAGTTGGCAAGAGGACTAAATAGAATGGGGTTATTGATTGCTTATATATTTGAAATAGTTTTAACTTTAATGAACACTGTAGAAGGTTTTATGTTACATGAACCCAATTTCTCCTACGACTAATTCTACTACCTGGACTACCGAGTGAGCAATGCTGATGTTAGACTTAGAGTAATAGGGAGGGATGGTAAACCTATTGATGAGAGAGTGAATGCTTATCGAATGAGATGATTGGAACATGTATTACATATACACAATCACCGTCCGCATCGACTAGTGATGATAACTGGTATAGGAGAATGTTGAAAGAAAGCTTGAGGTGCTCAAACCAAAACATGAGATCAGTCCATGAATTTATTGACTTTTGGACCGAGCTATGTACGTACATGCAGATAAAATGTTGGGTTCCACACGATTATAGTAACCAGTGGCTAAAGACTTTGGGTGATGGATGAAAATGAGATGGTGGAGAAGATTTGTAGCTCAGGTGGATGATTTTGGTGAAGTTTTGTTCTCTGAGCTGGATGGTTTGGTCGTGCACGACCAAACCATCCAGCTCAGAGAACAAAACTCCACCAAGATGGATGAAAATCTATTGCCATGGCCCAGATGCATTCACTTTTTACCTCCCTTTAGATTCTAAGTTTCTTAATAAAATTTACAGTAAAAATGTGTTCTATAAATCCATCTTTTTCTCTCTAATCATATTTCAGATGTCTAATCATTTCTACTACTGATGATACTATTATTAATCATACTGTTCTGACACGTAGTTGTGCTGATATAATGCGACAGCTTGAACCGATGCACATTGTATCATGTTGTATTTAGAGTATAAGTAATTAAATGACTAACTACCCGCATATTTCTTGAGTACTCATACGACAACAAATTACAAATAAACAATTAATCATTTACAACATAATTTTGACTTACTTTTGACAGTCCATATTCATTTATAGTTGCATGTTCATGTAGAATGGTATTGACATTTCTAAATACAAAAACCATTTGTCAGTTTTATAGTTAACTTACTTATCAGTAAGAACACCACGTGTTAATACATCGTCCGTAACAGAAGATATGAATTTCAAATAGTTGACTTCATTCTTTCTGTTTGTGTATGTTTTTATTTTGAAGAATCAATGACAAAAACAATTATTTCTTAATATTAATTAAACTTGGAAATTGATTATCACATAACTCAAAAAGTAAGTAAAATAATCAATAGCGGTCTATTTGAACATCTGTGCTACCTGTTCCTGCCATCTAGATATTTCAACAAGTTATCTAATTTTGTGAATTTATGAAAAGTGTACAAACCTTTGATTGTACAAGGTACAAAAGACCCAATCAGATATATCGTGGTTGCTGGCAATATACAACGAAAAGAATGTACATTATTTAGATGTCGACCGATTGAACTGCCAAATTCTAACTGACGATCGCCTAATATTTATCGTCAGGATCAACCAAGAAGTAAGAAACGGAAACTTTTTGAAATACTTTATGTTGAGAATTCCATGTTGTACTAAAAAGCTAATATTAAGTAAAGCTAAAAATAATACGAAGACGAAGAAGAAGCTTTACTGAGATTTATTTCTCATTAAGCTGTAGTAATGTCCATCATAAAAATGAATATTGATCTTGAGGAAAAATTTTGTTCTCACAAAAAAATTTTAAATGAGAATTCACATAATTATACGATAGAAATTTGTTAAAATTCATACTTAAACTTACAAAATAGACAATTCTTTCACTATCCAACAAAAAAAAGATATTTAGTTGAATATACATCAATGGAGCACTGAACAACTACTTTGTTCTAGTTTGGAACTCATCAACAGTATTTATCCGTGACCCACTCTCCGAGTCTAGTATTAATGGATGATACAACAGATCTACTGGTTTATATTTCCAACTTCACCGAATTTCTGATTTTGTTTGGTTGTTATTTGAAATCTGTGAATTACTGTCTTACTTCCAACAGTGTTTAACTCTCCAGGTAATGGCTTTTAATGTTAATCTGTGTACATAGACCTTTAGTAATTGAACAATCCCCACGGATTTCATTTTCGCAGAAATGTTGTGAATAGTAGTGATAAGTATGATTATTTTATTCGCATCGGTCTAGTACCGAAGATCTTTTCCGAATACAACATATAATAGTAAAGTGAGAAAAACTGAACAATAGGTTATCGAATTTCCTGATGTGTTCTTGATTCAAAATGTCCAGTTTGTAAGACATTTAGTCGATACATTTTTCTTTACCATACAGTTTGAACTCATTTATGCGGAGGGAAGAATACGTACTAAACTATCCGTTAGATATTACACTTTAAACAGTAGATCACCCAAGTTCTTATCCATGAAACTTCTGATTAAAATGGTTGTGATGAAGAACTTTATCATCTTCTTGAGTTACAGACTGTCATAATAAAGTCTGAAAACAAAGAGCTATTTTTCTAATATATCGGATATTTTCATTTATCTGACGAGTGATCATGATTTTGATCTTAAGTAAACTTGAATAAAAGTATGGATCGGTTGATAAGTTGACTAATCTCCCAGAAAATTTATCCATTTATTTGATTTTATTAACTATCATTTATATTTCATTTTTATTTCGGAATTAACTCTATCATTTGTAATTCAAAATAACTGGGTATGCAATAAATGAGAAATTGTAATTTTAAAAAAAAGAAAGAAATTAAGACTTTAGTTTAGTTTAACGTTTGTAAATATGAAGTAGCTCGGCAAACCGACGTTTCTTGAACACTCATAATGACAAATTTTGCTTCAAGTTATAAAAACAACAACTTAACATGAGTATATTATCCTAAATTTTAACGTTGAATGTATGTGATTATTTGTATTTAACGATGGGGTGGTGGTTGGAGGTGTTCGACAGGAAGCCCTGCTTGACCTAGGTTTCGTGCTATTTGGCACTCATAAGAAGAGTGTTCTTATAAACTTGAGGAAACTGATTCTTCCTGACGGTTTTGGTCCTGTGTCACCCAGCTTCATAGCCAGAGAAATTTCAATTGAGCATCCAGACCCTAGCTGACCACCTGTAGGACTGAGATGTATTCATAACCGATTGATCATTGAGTAGTGACTAATGTCATGTATGTCTAGACCTTCTTAGTTCTAACCAAAGTTCATCTATTAAGTTCTAATATGCCTACTGACCTAGGCGACTAGCCTAAGCAGCCTGAATACCTCAGCAGTCACGTCTCTGACTATGAACCTGGGTAACACGGGATCGAATCTTTCAGGGAGCAATAGTTTTGTCAAGATTACAGGCAAAATTTGATGATGAATATGGAATAGCATGAAACCTAAGTTAAGCAGGGTTTCCTGTAGACTAACTTACATCTTAACATAGTGCACCCGAAGTCAAGTCTCTTAAACTAGTGGCAACATTGTAACTTGATTGGCAGAATTCGATCAGCGCTAAGAAGAACTACATATACATTACATTAGTCACTAATCAGTGATCAATCAATTGTAAATATTACTGTTTGGTTAATCTTAATAGATGAAAACATTTCTGATATCATGAAATCAAGTATGTAAACTGTCTTATTTGTAAACACTTGATACTAATAATCCAAGGTTGTAAGTAGCTAAAGAGAAAATACAAAATAAGATGAATTCAGGTACATTCATTTTTCTTGTTCAATTGAACAAAATACTAAATAAACTAATCACGTTTTTTGAACTACGGGAACTCTTTCTTGTAATAAATTATCATTCATAAATTAACATACTAAAATTTCTTTTTTTTTACATTTCTTTGAAATTTACATTAAAATGGAAATAAATTTTATGATTTATGAAGTTGAAACAACTAATTCAATTATATGTAAGTTGGTTCAGGATAAATGAACAAGCTAAGTATGTATCTCTTTTGAGTGCATAGATCTGAATTCAGTTACTCGATACTAATTACGTTCACTAGATAAATGACGTGTAATATTACACCATTTGATAAGTTAGTTGGGACTCGATATTGTGTTCATTGTTTATCAAATAACAAAGAACGATGCAATTCATATACTTGAAGGCTCGTGTGCCTAATCAAGGTAATACGTACTCGCAAGCACTCAATGGTAAATGCTTCTAAATGACTAGTTTCAAGGGAGGGGAGTCGTTAAATAGTTAAGCACACAATGAAGAGAGACCTTTGCTAGTACATTTTCCAGAATTATGTCAATATATTCTTGTGTTAAAAAGAAATGTGCAAATTAATATCCCTTAAACAGATCTATTTAGTTCAGTTAAACTACAATAAAAGTAATATCAAGCTGAACTCTAGCAAAATACTCATATTTTGTAAAAATGACTTGAAAATTTGTTATACATTGTGACATTTTTTTAACTAAGACAAGCTTCAATTTGATATTTTACAAATAAACATTAAAATGTATCGAGAATTTATCAAGTTTAATCCAGGATTATAAAAAGTAAACTAATATTTAACAGAATGAAACAGTATTATTTCAAGCAATCTAAGCATATATGTGATCAGACTGTTCTAAATGTATTGACTAAATATATCACATAATCCTGATAACCTTCGTCTTCTCATTTCATTATCAAAACTGAGCATAAACAATTTCCTTTGCCATTTCAATAGCAACAATACACCATATTGTCTTTCTAAAGATTGAATATTAACAAAAAAATGGAAATTGATTCTTTTAAAAGAATCTAAAGATGTGAAGTTGATAAAATCATATGAATGTTAGAGGATCGTTAAAACATTTGATCATTAAAAGAGGTGTGGTGCATGCTACTTATATTGATATAAGTAGTATATGACGTGAGTCAGGAGTGTAATGTCTGGCGGCAGAAGATGGGGAAGATCAAGAAAGGAAGAGAGGGAATAGAAAGCAATTAGTATAGAAATGCAAGAACAATGAAGTTCGAGACAATTATTGAACATTTTGCAAATTAATTATTATAGTATGGTTTCCCTATTTTGTCAAGTAACTCTGTAATTTGTGCTAAATATAATTCGGTTGTCCTCATTTGTGTTCTCCTTCACTAAAGAGGTAGTATACATCAAAATATTAAAGTAAAAACCAAATTTTATCGAAAAAACAAAATCATATTGTTAGTTGCAAGTTAATGATTTAAAATATCTCTAAAAGTTATATGCTTATTTAATAATTACGCTTCAACTGACTCATGATTTAAATCTGTGAAAATTTCTAAAATCTCCACAAACCCCTTCTGATAATTACGGTTCTGTTGATAAACAAACCATCATGCCAAGATAATTTGAATGTAAAGATAACTAAGTAACGTATGTGTCCTAAAATATGTACCTTTCCAACTTTCTTTATGACAAAGTTGTATTATTATTCCAGTCGGTTGAAACTATATCCAGTACCATCAGAATAAACTATTTTAGCAGCATATAAATGTTCTCAATATCAAAAAAATATAATGATGACTCACTGATGTCCATTTCCTAATTTATGTTTGATACAGTGCGTCTGCTCATAAAAAACTTATGCTTAGTTATTCATTCATAGCTTGATACAGTTAAACTACGGACACATAGTGTCATTACATTTTTTGTCTATTAGGGTATTAAATATCGACACAATTGTCTGATATTTATCCCTAACTATATACATCAGCATCATCTAGATAATATAAAAAGCCTTATAAGCAAAATTGGATAGTCGCTATTAGTTACACCTAGGATGCGCGTTCCATCCTATTTGAGACTTGTTAGCTGGATATGGTTAATGTTTACACCGGGACTCGAAACCAGTGCCTTTCGCTTCAAACGCCATCGCGTTATCCACTTAGCTACTAAGTCCTGATGGCCACTTGCGTGTGCGACATCAGCTCTGAAATTCAGGTACACTCAACTGACGAGTCCGAAATAGGGTGAAACGTGCGTCCTGGATTCCACTGCTAGCCACTTCTCATCTTTCCTTAAAAAGCTTGTGACTTAAGGCAATGTCAAGGCAATCAGCACAGGACGCACAAATGCCAATAAATGATTGATCAGTTGCAGCCCTAAACATCAATGTGAAAATTCAAGCAAACAATATCAAATGAATTCAATATAAAAAGCTATTTATAACTTATTTCTTATGCTAAAAAGTAACAAATTAAACAGTTTGTTAATCCCATTTGTATGATCGTGAGCAATTTTCCCTTTGTATGTAATATTCTCACATATATTGGTAAAGTTACATCTAGTTTTATGACATTATTTATTATAATGCCAATCTTAGTATGTTTATTGTAATTATCGATATTTGTCAATGAAACGAATTACAGACATTTGACGTATTAATTTTTGGTAGACCACTTTATACTACTAAAAGTAGGCAAACTATTCATTCTAAATTTTGTATTAAAAATATTGGATAAAGAATATTATAAAAGAACAGAATGATGCTTAGTTTCTCACTTCAAATAACCCTTTAATTATAAATTTTAAATAGTTTGAGTTGTCAGATTAAATTTCACAGAAACATGAAAAGAAGAACAAAATCGTTTTAAAAATGTTTCCTGAATTAAGTTCACTTAAATTGACCTCATTATTTTTAACAATAAATAAATAATCACATTTTTTGAATGTTTACAGTTAGTAATCAAAGTGTACCAAGGTTCTGTATTGTTGATGAATTCAAACTAGAAGATTCCTGAAGGTATTGCACATTTTGATGATGATAAGAAAAGAAGTGAATACAACTACTTATGATTTTAAGGAGTAGAACGCAAAAACCACTTACAAATTTTCAATTGACACTTCATTCCCAGTTGGTTTATTCAGCATTTGTTTATCTGTATTATCTGTATAAACGTTTTTCTCTGTAAACGACTTTTCCAGTTTCTCTTCACTACATTGCGCGGATGTAGCAATCTAAGAAAGAGGAGGCCGAAGAAATAAGATGAAGGTGAGTTGAAATATTTAGCCAAGTATGATTTCACTTGACTAAACATAATGACTATCATTCTAAAAAGACAAACATGTTAACAATTAATTCACTAAAATTGATATATACTGATGTATTTTGAATTTATTTAGAATACAGAATGATTTTGTTGAAAAACAATGAATTTTGACAATGAGACTTCTTTGATATCCGCAATAGAAACGTATAAAGTATTTTCATCGAACAGAAGAATCTCCGACTACAAAAATTCATCTGATTTAGTTTAAACTATTTTCCATATTTTTTACATATCCACATTTTTTACAATCGCAGTTAGCTTAAATGTTATATATTAAATGTAAGAACGAATCATATTAGAACACAGATATAGAAAGAACATTCTTCGTTCATATATTTGTGTTTTAATATAATGCAAATATTTTGGCGATTGAAATCACATTTGGTCAACACATCTGAAAGTTCCACTGATAGTTCATTACATCAATTTCCTTACATAATCGTTGATAACTTTAGTTGTTACTACCGTTTTTGGTAGTTCTTAGTGGCGGTTACATCTGTCCGACGAATTTGCGATGTGACCGTTAGTCTAAGTGAATTGACATTATGTGTACTAAGTTTCGATGTAATACAGTTAGAAACGGCCCTTATAGCCCAGTGGTAACTTCTCAGACTGTAAAACTAAGCAACCCAAGTTCGAATTCATCAGGGAGCATCAGTCCCTTCAAGGCTGCATAAATCCATTGGTAATGAGTCCCAACTAGTAAGAAATCTAGATCCAAGAACATGTGAAGATATAGTTTTCTGCCGACTTACTTCAGCCGCATAACATCAAGACAGCGCACCCAGTGTCGAGCCACTTAGACTTATGGTCACATCGCAACTCGGTTGAATGTGTCCAGTCATTACTAAGGAATAGAAAAAATATGACATCGGTCACTATTCAGTGGTCACTTAATCCAAATTTTAATTATTATTGATAACCATAAGCTTGATGTATCTGAATATTATTAAATTTTTTAAATGAAATCGGTTACTGATGGAAGAAGAATATCCTACTGCAGCTCAGATTTTTATCTACTGTTTTTCGGAACTACAGAACATAATATGGTATGCCCCGACCGTTGTTGCTACCTTGACGTAGTGGTCGGACTTGTCTATCGTGATAAAGCGACCAAGCTATACTGGCTGGAACAACCGTTCCTCAAGGTCCTACCATGTCAAACAGGTCGGTTGAAGAGCGGTAAGACTAAAAGCAACAAACCCAAGGTCCGAAGGCGAAGTCGTAATGCTGACTGTACAGGGGTGTGACAGCAGTAAGGTGTTTCCTTCAGACAACCAGCATGACAGCGATGCTGCCTTCCCACAAGGAGGGGTGGGGTTAAGAAAGGTCGACCCCAGAAATGCACACCTCGCCTTATCCCACGGATATCCGTCTCCGGCGGTAAGGTCTCAACAAGTACGGAGCTAACGCAAAAATTACCCATAAAAAGTCATATGTGACTGACCTCAAGCAGTTGTCCCTTCGGCACTGCGGTAACGCTCCCAGGTCACTAAGACCACCTCTAATCCGATCTCATTTTCAGGCACCTCCAGAAGAACCCTTCCACGGTGTGGGCAATAGGTAAGTGATAACCGCCCTCATACCTCTAACAGCACACAAGACCACTGTATTCATAATCAACTTCCCTCTTCACTTCCTATTATTCCTCCTACATCAACTTCAAACTCTAAACTATTTTCGGCTTCCCCCTCAAGTGTCGCCATAACCAACGATTCTAGTGCTCAAAACACTGTCCCAGGTCTCCAAGAGTCTCCAACCATTGGTTACGATAGTCACGCGAACCCCAACCAAGTAGTCTGCATCTACCAACATGGCTCAGACTAAAGTTAGTGACTTCTAACACTGATGCCACGTTTTGGTTTGGCCGTCCCTAACTTTCTTCCAACCATCTCCAACACCGGTTTGCATTGCACGTCGTGGTAATCGGTGTTCAGGCATACGTAACACGTGGCCCAACCATCTCAGTCGATGAAGATTCACAACCTCATCAATCGATTTACCATCATTCCCTAATACCCTGCGTCTAACCTCACTATTACTTACCCGGTGATCTCAGCAGACGCCAGCAATATTTCTAAGGCATCTGTGGTCAAATACTAGTAGCTTACGAGTATCTTCTATCCTTAATAGCCAGGTTTTGCAGCCGTGAAGTAAAACAGAACGAACTGCCGCACAGTATACTCGTCTTTTTATTGATAGACGGATATCTCGCCTTCGCCATAGGTGACGTAAGTTGGCAAAAGCCAAGCGAGATTTTCGAATCCGTGCTGAGATTTCGTTAGAACTGATCAAACTTCCAAGATAAGTGAAGTTGTCAACGCGTTCGACTACTTCACTCCCTATCTTTAGTTCAGGTGTTAACGCAGACCAGTCCTGAAGCAACAACTTGCATTTAGAGGGAGAGAAGCGCATTCCAAACATTCTGGCATTGTTGCTTAGTGCTACCAGAAGATTCTGCATTTTGTCAGCGTCTTCACCAAACAGAACTATATCATCTGCGTATTCTAAGTCGATAAGTGGACCTCCTGGAAGGAGATCAATACCCGAGAATCCAGTAGACGAGAATGTTATTCCCATCAATAAGTCTATGATGATAAATTGGTCCTACGTTGTAGCTGACTGACTGACTGAATACGGTATGCAGATAAATGAAAACACTCAACACTATGGGATAGTGATTTATCTGCCCTGTATAAATAATCAAGTTTCATAGGATATATATATATATATATATATATATATATATATATATATATATATATATATGAGACGTTGAAACACATTTAATGCTTGATATGAAGTTTACCCTTCTGGCTCTACGTATGAATGAATGGTACTACCGAGGTTATCCATCCAGATTCAGTTAATTTAATCAGGATTAAAACTTTGATACATAAGTGTAACACTTTTAATTGTAATAAAAACTGCCACTTGACAAGAAAATAAATAATATAACATGATATAAGTTTTGGAAACTATAGGGAAATAAACGTTTGATGATTAAAAATAGCAATCTTAGGTAGATGTCTCAATATGAAACATTTTCAGATCTGCAATCGGATCTACAGTTGTTCTACCATCTAATTATATCACAACTTGTGAAACGAATCCGATTAGTGCCCGGTAACTGTCTAAGTCTAATACCCCATCATATGAACGATTCTCATATTATGGATAGAATTGCTAACCAAAAAATAGCCCTTTCATAAACAGGGATTGAAAGTATAGACATATGTAAATATTACCTCTGGTTTATGGACTATACTATTACCGGGTAGTGTGTTTAGCCACTGTTTAACTTTACCAAAATTATGCAGTCCATCAATATACTCAGTAGACATCGATTGATTTTGTCGATTTTTTTGTGAAATACGTCTGTGATGAGAAGATGGCAGGATATGTTTAGAAGAATAATTAGATATTCTCTTGTTTAAATGAGAGAAAGTGGTTTCTCCTCTATCTGTATTCGATTCTTCATGTTTAGTATTGTCAATTGCCTCCATATCTGATATTTTTAAAACACAAAAGTACGTTATCTTGAATGAAAATGGCATTTCAACTTACTAATGAGCAATCTAAACACATAATTTTTATTCAAACAGCATTAATATCGATGTATTAATATGTTGCGGAAAAGAAATAGGTTAGAAGACTCTTTAGAATAAACAAAATACACTGTGCATTATTAAACCTTAAAAAGCATTAATTTACTTCAGACGGATTTCTGTATATATCTAACGAAGGAATTTTTAACATTATATTCAAAATATTGAGATTTTGGAGTAATTCAACTTTATATTTAATGGGTACAAACAATCAGTATAGGGCTTTAGAATCGACCTTCACACTCTTCAGAAATATCGCGTTATTTGACTTACCAGTGTAAGTAGTCATAACTTAGCGACTGGGCCTTTCATATATTTTATCCGTTTGCAAATCAGGCGTTAGGAACCTTAGTTAGTAGCTTGGATAGATTAAATAATTATATCAGTTCATTACAATGTGAATGAAGTTGATAGAATTTGATCATTAATAGATTAACTGAAATAGTTACGATGGTGGGGTCGTGAATGCACGCTACTGGGGGGTCCTATACTAGGACAAAGTGGCCGTTCACTGCTTCCAGGTTCTCAATGGTAGTCTGACTTAGATCGGTTCATGATTTCAATGAAACGCAACAGTCTCCACAACTCCATACTGTAAAACAATACTGACCAATGCATTTAGTCTTGGTCTTCTTAAGATCAGCAGGAGTTTGAAGGATATGATTCTTGGCATTAAAAAGCACTTAAAAATATTAATGATGGTTAGTGTTATAAATTAATACTAAAACATTTTAAACAGACGACGCGAACGTATATATAGGATTTTATCGGTTATTGCCTATAATAGCGTTATAAATGTTGATGAAAAGTTATCTTTCGTGTAAGGAAATTCTAATAGCTCATTTATTTATGAAATATATGCAAATGACAGTCTGGTAAAATAATACAAGCCTTGCATATAAACTTATATGCTTTGTGAAAACAGATCCTCTAAAAGAACTGAACGTTGAAACGATCGTTCCCTAGTTTCAGAGGTGTTATGACTTAGTCTACAATAATATTGAATGTAGCAGTAAAACAGTCAACTGATATAACTATTCTCAATAAAGTTATGTACAAACCGCTTTTGATTACTTACACTTAGCTAAATGATGTTTTGAAACCTATTTATTCGAATTAGTAAATTTATGAATATAAATGAATTTTTTCCATCCTACCCTTGCTAATATTTAGGGTTGAAATGATCAACCCCTACTTTAATAACTACTCTGATTCAGTTGTCTAAAACATAAAGTTTGGAGTGATGGGTACCTTATTTGAAGCATTAACGTGGTAGCTCAAATTATTTTAAAGCACTAACTTAGGTTGACATTATGAATCACCTGATTCCCTCTCAGTAGACAGATAATGATGTACTCAATTCAGGCCCCACAGTTTTTAAGCTCAACAACGTTTGAAGTATGGTCGCTCACTACTGAAGAGTTTCAATCTCACACGAAATACCTTTTCAGCACTTCCTAGTTGTCAAGAACTACTAGATAGTGTCAGATTTTCGGAAAACGTCTTCAATGAATATCGTTGAAAACACAAGTAGCATATATTATTGAATACAGAGTGAATAAAACCACGTTTATTAAAATAAGAAATCAATATAAATCAGCTTTTTATTTAGCTTTCCCTTGTACCAACAACTTATCACTAAATATATGTGTAACAAATAAATGTTTGTAAGGAAAGGAAAAGGCTAGTAAATTACCTGAATTTGTTGTACAGGTTCCCACTTGTTTCTTGAAGTGCATTACAGGTTTAACATCCAAAGAAACTTTCGAATCAGACTGACGACGACTAATTCTTTTAGGTGGATTGTAACATCGCAAAGTAATAAGTTTGGATGAGACGTTTGATTTCATTGTTCTTGGAGAAAATGGTTTAGGACTAGTAAACTTATCCCGGTGGATATCTAAAACATCAGTGCTCAATGACTGCCTTCGATGAGCAGTCTATAAATATGTTTTTATTTGTTGTAAAGAAAATTAACAATTTCAAAATAATTATCGCTGTAATAAGTTAAACTGTCATACAAATAACAATTATCATTACTAATTAGAATTTAAAATGTCTATATACATTCCGTACCTATAATATCAATTGGATTTTAATGATATGTATAACAATTCGATGCTAACAATACCATATATTTACTTGCCATTTGATATAGCCTTAAATCAGTAACTGTGGTGGATTCACTGTTTATCCTCCTCCAAAAACCCTGAAACAGTGATCAAAAGATGTTCAGAAACTCTACAATAAAAATTTAAAACCCAGATTTAGTATATGTATAAAACCATATTTAAAGTCTGGGGATAAACGCCGTGGTTAGCTTCATGGAAAAATCGAAGACTCAGATTTAATTTTACACTTCATATACGACATAAGTTTAATTCAGAATAATGAAGATAATACGGTTAGATATTGCTAGATGGTAACCAAGATTATCTTTCAAAATATGGAATCTAGGGTTACTCATATGACCAAGATATTAAATAATGCATAGTTTACGGAATCTTTCATCAGTTTTCTGGATAAGGAAATCAGAAAATAACGTCCAAACAAAACACGTGATTCATAGGAGCAATGTATTTGAAACAAATAGATCGAATCGAAACTCCATAAGATTTGTAAAGAATAAACTCAAATCAACTATATATAATAGTGAGAATATCTTGGCAATATTGACTTTAATTTCAATATTAAAAGTAATATGATAAGCTTTGCCTTTTCCTTGTGTTTCTAGTTGCCGTCCTGTCTCTCCATTTTCCAACTGATGGTTCTGATTTAAGATATCTTGATAAGTTAAGGAGCATACAGACTGCGCAAAAAGTACTCAAATGATCATATCTTTTCGCTTTCTTACTGAACTGTCCAGACGAAATTTTATCAATGGTATTTTACTGCTCTTGAAATACTACGCATGATGGTATCTTGATGTAAATGCTTAAAAAATATGTCGTTCGTATTAATCGATAGATTATTTGGACATGATTATTTGTCTCGTCCAAATTTTAAATAAATACGTCTGATTGTTCTCACTGGGTTCTGTTTGACTTGAATACTGGCCAACATATGACTAATGGAGCGTGGATTGAACAGTTTTTGGAATTACTTGTTAGCGTACTGAATTCTTTTACTTTTGATTTACCACACAAAATCATCTACAAACTGTAACCCTTTAGTTAACACTTAGCAAGATTATTAATATTATCAAAAATATTTACTGCGTACAGTAGACCTTGACTATCAAGACCATATCTCTGCTGCCTTTCAATCTTATTGATTGGACAGTGACCGTCACAAAATACCACATAATTTCTACTATGTCTATCAAAAGCATATTTTTGAAGCCGAAAGAATTTGAGCGTGTGTCTACTGAAACGTAAATGTCGCAAAAATATTTGCGTCTCCACGGAGAAGTATTTTTACGCAATTCCGTACAATACAAAAGACAGAAATTACGCATATTAGTTTGCGACCTAGGGGAGTATCTTGCACTTATACAATAATTGGTTTGTGAAAAAAAATTTGTGTAAGAAGTCAAGAGAGCACACTATAAATATAAGTACGTGTAACCTACACAGGATACATGCACATTTTTGTTATAGATTACCAAAAACATAAGACAAACAAAAATGTTCTTCTTAGCATTGAAAAGAGAATTTATACTAACTTTGGTGCTAGAACAATCTACATCCAGCTTTCGTAAGATTATAGGTTCTCCATCTGAGCAATCACATTTCTCGCATGTATTTTTGTTGTCGACAACTTCCGAACGATGCTCACCTAACCCAAGTGGTTCCATAAGTTTATCGTTACTATCAAGGATAAATCTTCTCACAATCCTATCAACCTCAGGATCATCTGAAAATGTATTTATCTAACTATATCTCGCAAGACTGAAAAGTATTACAGCGGTCAGATTACAGAGACTATTTGATTCTGGTCTAGTTGAAAGGGGTCTTCTATTAGCTCCTTTGTATGACTTCAGATAACCCTTGGCTGGAAAGTGAAAAATAAAGTGAACTCACTGGTTGGATTGTGTGAAAATGAGTAAGGTGTCGTATTGTCGACATAGGCTTTTGAAAGCTGTACTATAAGTAAAAATTTACCTTTTACGGATTGAATATTTCTGTAATGGGCATTCAAATGCTGTTTAATCAGGATCTTTGAAGACACTTTACATTTTCGTGGAAAGATTTCTATGAATTAAAAAACTAGTATTTTCACAAATTCACATACCATGATCACAGGGTTTTAGATTGGTGTTATTACGAGAATTAATTTCGGGATTCAACATAAAGGATTTATATGGAGCGCAGAAACGGTATCTTTCACAAAATCCACAGACGCCGAGCTTGATTGACTTAAACACGCTTATAACGGTACCACTGAAACATATAAAACAGCTTTTCACCCACTATTCTTGGTTTAAAATACAAAGTTGTTCATTACTAAGGCGGCATTTCTATTATGAACCCCTCACGTTCTGTTCTGGAAATTGTTATATATTTCTGTTTATTTTCGAAATATGGTAGGAGTGGATTCTCTTGAGCACACTACATATGTGTCTAAATGGCGTTCTCTCAGGATATTCTATCGCTAATTAATTATTTACTGGTGCCTCAGAAATTGTATGAATACCTTCCGGCTGTTCATCCCGCCAACATGTTATAAATGCATAGCATTCACATTTTGTGATAAGAAAGGTCTAAAGCTTGATATGGAGTTTTATTGACGTAAAGTTTTTAAAATGATATTACAAGATTAGGAATGTAGTACCAACATTCTGTGATAATGAACAAATCTTGTTTACTGAATAACGGCCAGTGTCGAGAGGACTATTCATTGATATACCCAAATAGCGACCAGCATTGAGGACCTTAAGACAAGTTGAGAACATCCACCTGTCATAGTATTTATGCATTCTGTTTAAGTTGTGTTTACGTTATCCCCAGTTAACCAAGACTTTACACAATAATCCATTGATGAATGATTCCAGAGTGGAGATAAGTTGCTAGTCTATAGTGACTCACTTCTATAACGAGAACACAATTGGTTTATTGAAAACAAATATTATTATAACCAATTGTACCAGTGACTGTTTTAATGTGCTTTTGTTTAACTGTGCTAAAAAGCATCCATTATTCTTAAACTTTGATTGGGACCTCGCGGGAATTCGGCTACGCTCTGTAACCAAGCTTGTATCCTGGCACGATCTCGGTATTTTTTCGATACCACGAGATCGCCAACAAATATATCTCAACTTGCTCCATTAACTGTTTTCTGATATTTCGCTTCCGGGGGATTTTATGGAGTCACATGGCACGCGTTCCTGGGTAGCGGTGTTCATAGTCAATCTCGACTCGACACCACGATACAAGTCTGTGAGATTCCTGTGTAAATATATTCATGTTGAACGATGGTACGATTTCACCTAATCTTATTGTTGGTTTAGACTAATGTGATTTTAGCCTATACAATTATGGGCTTCCTTTAAATCTACTGTGAATTCTGCCGATATTCATCGGTGTCAAAATGTTGTGGTACATCAACATAAAAATTTCAAAAAGTGAACCTTGACCTGGAGGTGAAATTCATTTAAGTTTTTGGGACCACGCGAATGTTATATGTTGTTTAAATCTCCGTGGTACGAATCTTATACTCAAAATGTTCGATAAGTTCCAACAATTCAGCACAATGAGATTAATTGAGTCGGAAATAAATACATCAGTACTACTGGTTGATCTGACTTCATACTATACATTTTTTGTTGCTATAGGAATACAAAGTAATGTTCGTCTTACTGTTGATTTAGAAATATTTTATATAATTACAAATAGTATATTTACTCATTCTGTGTATATACGTATGCAATTATCGATTGATTTTATGTTTGCAGGAGAATCTTGTTCAGATACTGTGTACTTGTAATCCCATACTGTTCGAAACATATGGTAATAGATACAGCGACTGATAAAAGTAATGAATACAATAATTAAATGTTTTGATTCAAAATGCTGAATGTTTTTATGTTTTATGGCTGAACATGGGTAGCGTCTGTTTCCCATTTTACATGTAGAACTTACAAATACTATGCACTTGTCGGAAAATTAGTATCAAAGTTTGAGTAACATTTCCAGAAACAAAAGACTATGATTGGATAAAAAATGAGTTATCTAATAAGTAATACATATTTTGGTGCCTTATATTTAGGGGTAAGAATCCACAAAATTACGGGTGAATATGGAAATGATTGTATTGTACGTAACACGCGATTAGGTTTAAACCACAAATCAAAGTTCCAGTGAAATATTTCTTGATCTCTTTAGAATAAGTGTGGGTCTAGATGCCCGATAAATAGAACGGAATATGAAGATTCGCTAACAATTCTCCAATACGGAATTATATAACTGGGAAATCAGTGCGAAGCACACAATTCTTAATTGACTTGGGCCGCCTAACGTTCTTACAAGCTGACTGTCATGAAACCAGATTTATAAGAAAAGCCGTTCACCATGTCGATGGAAAAGAACGAAGTCCATAGTATAATAATATACTTTTCTGACTGAGCGGGTACACATCAACTTTACGACTATGAAAAACAATTTACAACATGGAATTACGGATAAGATAACAACCAAGTAAAGCTAACTAAGTTGCTTAAAGTCTTGAATGACTCTATTACCATCGCCTTTATTTATAGCTGTTTTTACTGTCATTATTGAATGCCAACCGCTGGATTTGTACTTGAGAGTCTGAAAATACATGGTGATCATCGTAAGATAGATAGCACGAGTGTAAGAAGCATCACATATAAGATAACCTTGTAATTATTGGATAGTCGTTTTCCTCTCAATCATAAACAGCTGGAGACAACTAGGCGTGTGTGGATTGAAATCATCGTCCACATTATCAATTTTTCCTCCTTAGTAACTCCAAACACATCCATTTTTTAATGTTAGGCTCTTTAAAAGTTGTGGTTATCTTGCAGTTATTTATCACTTCAAAAATCTAAGTTCCACACCCTGTACCATGTACAAGCATATTCAACAGTTTAGGTGTTGAACGGTTGGTAGAAAAAAGCATTGCATGCGATAAAGAAGAAAGTAGTTCAGTCAAGTCGAATAAAATTTGGTTCGTTGTATCGTTCAATGCGGTCACAACAAACATAGGCATTTTGTTATTTTTAGTCACAAAATGCGAGTGAACAAATAAATCTGATGTATCACCTGGGCTGGTTTTCTGGTCCTTTTTTAAGGTGAAGAAGGAATGATACTGGAGTTGTCCATAAGTAGGGATTGGAAGCATTATCTTTAAAGAAAAGTCAGACATGAGGTATCTGTGGTGTTTAATATAGCGGTTTGAAATTCACACAAAATGACACTCAGACTAGTTATGTCATAGCCAGACCCACCAGCTCAATCCTCTTGGTTGACTAGCATGGCTGGTTCTATCTAATTACTGTCTTTGTATCTGCCTGTCAGCTAATCTCGTCTCGTTATTTAGATGGCCTCGTTTAATAGTGAAGAAATGTCATTACATTGTCATTCCTGAATATCATAACTCCTACGTAGTTGATTGATATTTCAGTCTCGTTATAATTTTCATACTAACCACCAATGACCCAGTCAGGAAATAAACTTCGAAAGACTGCTGATTTGCTTCAAGAATGATACTTCTCACTTGGATCAGGTTCAAAGTAAAACAACCGAATTGGTACTTGAACTAATCGTCTGATCGAACCTATCCAACTTAGGGGCGAAAACTTACAGTAGAACCAGCACATAGGCATGACAGGGATATTAGTGTATCCTGTCGCTGACAATTATATATTTCAGCAAATAACTACATATAGAAAGATTTCCACTTGAGGTAAAACAAAAAGGAGCGCACAGAAATTTTGTGCTATCTTCTTTGCGGTTATAAGGGATAATTTGTTGATATTTTAGAATAAGTTAGCAAACTTACCTATTTCTGCAACTCAACGTAATATCTCATATTAGTTATCCTACCTAATGTGACATCTTGACATTATTTTTGTTCTCAATGCAACATTCGAGTGAGTATGGTGTTGATTTTGTATTTTCGAGTGTAATTTTAGTTTGTTTTTTCATAGTTGTTGTGAACTTTCGTCTGATTTGACAATTATACTGTTTAAATTGACCTGTGTAAGCTTTGTATGTGCTATAAAGTAGGCCAGTGTATCTATTTATTTATATGGTGGTTATTAACACGTAGCGCCAGATAAATTCCCAAAATAAGTGATACCATAAGTCTTCGACATTGATGCTGACCTCGTTTGTTTTACTGGACACACCCTAGTTGAATGTGCTCGGCTATGCGTCCGTAGATCGCTGGTGGGAACGTGGTGTTAAGCATCCCTTCCAACTACTAGACAGCTTAGACGAAACATAGCTTCTGACTTCTGATTTGAATGGTCTGTTATCTTTTGATTATAAAGCTGTTATTTGTAAAACAGTTGTCAAAATCGGATCAGTCGTGGTATCTTTAAGCGAATATTTAAATGTCCACATAATCTGCGTATAACTGGTTGTATTATGTTTAATGTCGTCTGATTTTTTGGAGAATCAATAAACCTTAATTGTACCAGTTTTGTGTTGTTACTTCGCATCCTGGGTATGGCGCTGGTCCCTGTTTCTAAATATGATAAGTAAACAGAGAATATAAAAATGCCAGAAATTTCCGCTGGAAGAGGCGGTAACGACATTTCCTGCTGACATTTTCAACAATGGGTCTGAAATTAATTCAGTTTCATAATCACATCGATAGATCGATCCATGTATTGCTGATCGGTTACTCTGCATATGTTTAACTAGTGTTTTTCCCCCTCACATTCATAAGGAACTATGTAAACTATCTTAATACTTTATTATAGAATCAAATAAACAAAGATGGGTAATTCTTCCTAGCAAATTTCAAAGGTTCGGCGTTTTGTGATCCGAGTTCTGACTCCCTTTTGAACGAACTCCTGAATATCACATGAATATAAATCTTCTATTTTATTCCATAAACTATACCATGACTAACCTTGTTTCATCAGCAGTGGTTATACGAAAGCAAATACGGATTTACTTGAATGAATTTAAGTCTTTGTTTACTCAGACAGACAAGCGGAGCGGTAAAGGGGAAGTACTTTTCGTGCCTATAGGTAACCCTCGTGTTATTGATAGAAGAAGCCAGACAAAAAGTGAATAGCTCTTTATTTCGATCTTAGCGCAGTCACAGTGGAGAGTGGGATTATCTGTTCAGACAAACAAAAGCTTTCAACATTCAATATAAGATAATAAGGAATATAACGCTTATACAAAATAAGGAAGTGAATGAATACTTGAACAATACTGTTTTGGCATGTGCTTGGTTGTTTGGGGTCAACTCTTAACCAACCAACCTATGCTGTTACATTAGCTTCCCCCTAGAATCGACTTCCATAGGAACGTCGGTTCGATTAACCTATCTATCAAAAACACCTTAGTTCTATTTCTCATCCCAAGGGAAAATTATCAACTCACTCAATGTTTGACTTACAATCAGTGGCAACTAACGCTGTCAACGTAAGTGATTGGCCTCCAGAACGGATTGGTATTCTGGAAGAAAATAGACATAGTGTAGCCATCTTGTGTACGAAAAGGTATGAAAACAAATAAAATCCTTTTTTATAATGTATATATGTAAAAGTGTAAACTTGCTAGAAGTAGGATATGCGGTATTGGGTACCTATCTGGTACGGTTTGACGGTTGAGGGCTCTGTAATTCCCGCAAGGTCGCCAGTCACCTTCATTCTTCTTTGGGACCATATGCAAAGGGGATGCCCATTGACTATCAGAGGGACGGATAATACCCAGTTGTAGCATATAATCAAACTCGGCCCTAGCGATTTTGAGCTTATCTGGTGCTAGTCTCCTGGGTTTTGCAAACACCGGTGCACCTTCGGTTTTGATAGTGTGACTTACTTTTAGTTTGTCTTTGGAAGGCTGTGGGTTTGGTTTGGTTAAGTTTGGAAATTCCGCGAGTATATCTTGGAATTTCGCTGTTGTTACTGGAGGGGTTTGAATCAAGTTAAGAGAGCTGATGTGACTTTCTTTGCCTTTTGTGTAAAACGAAGTTTCTTTTAGTGTTAATCGCCGTTTCTTGGTGTCAACAAGAAATTCGTATCTCTCTAGAAAGTCCATCCCCAGTATTGCCAGATCTAAGTCGGCTACCGTGAAAACCCAAAGGAATTGTCTTCCGAACCCCAAATCTAGGGTTAACGTTTTCTGCCCAAATGTCGCGATTGTAGTTTTATTTGCAGCTTGAAGTGTAATCGGGGATGTTTCTCGACTAATCTCGTTTTATTTCGAGGGATGATGCTAAGAGCAGCGCCAGTATCCACCAAGAAATTCAAGCCCGAGTTTTTGTCTCTGACATAAAACAAGCGACTGTTTAGGCGCCCCTCCTCAGTTGTCGCGACCTGGGGAGGGGTTACTCGTTTCCCGCTGTCTTGGAATTATGCTTAGGCCAGGCGCATGGTTGCCTGCACTTGGTTGAGTTGACACCAAACTTCCAGTGGTACCAACAAAACTGCCCAGATTGTCTGGACATTTGTGACCTATTTTGTGACTTGGATCGTGATCGTTGTGGTGACCTGCTCCTGTTTGTATGACCCATTTGCATTCTGGTGACAGCCTCAGCGAGACTCTTAACACTCGCAATGAGTCCTTCTATGACGGGGTCTTTTGCTGATTCTACTTTCTGTGTGTGATTTATTGTGCCTGATCCAGTTACATACTAACTCCCATTTACTATTCATTACAAGCGTTGATACAGTTTAAAATAGATAATGCCTGCTGCGACAGAGAGACGGATATTGGATAAAACAATGAGTGACAGACATACATACAAGTACACACAAAGTGCATAAGCGTAGAAATACTAATACACGAACATAAAGTGTAGATTTGCTGATGGTCTAAATTTTCTGTGAAAAATAGCTATTATGAAGGTAAAAATGACTTAACAGTCACACGCTGTCCGAGTTATCAAAGTCTGTTCAAATTCTAGTATGGATTATGCATGTAGCAGTAATAAACGCTTCAGGCGGTTCCTTCGCCTTCTGCGTTGTTACGTGAAGGTTACATGTGTATTTCCAGAACCATACTACTACCATGTGACGGGAATAACTGGAAGGATATAAAACACATACTTACACGTATAATTCAGGAGAAATTATGCTTTTCCGAGTCTTTGCGTTTATTAGACGTCGTTAGGAACTTGTTTTATGGCTCCACTGACCAAAATGAGCTTACAGACATTTTGCCTGTTCACAACGCATATGTTGGCCTGGGGAATTTTGTTTACCTTTGTATGCATCAAAAAGAGAGGAAACACTTCGAGTCACATGTATTCCCGTTTATTATCAACTGTATAGTGATTAGTGAGCAGTTTGTGTTCAAATATAGGTCTTTACAAAGTCTTCAGAATCAAAGTAATAATTGTTCCTTCCGCTCATTGAATTACTTTCAGAATGTTGTACGTCACTGCCTTATGACCTCGCGTCTTCCATCATTGCAAGTTCGCTCCTTTGCCTTCTGCCTCTAAACCCTTTATCCAACCAGTGGCTAGATGATGTCAACTTTACATACGTGCTTCTAAATATTTTAAATAGGTATGCTTGTGATCTACTCAAATTTATTGTAGTCGATCCTCCGAACTAGACAAGTTGCGATGTGTAATTTCCTATCTCGACTACTGTCGATCTTCTAAGCTACTATCTCTAAAAGGCCTTGTAATATCACGTCGTGTCTGGTCACATTTGGATCTGCTGAAACACCTGTCAACAGATCTTGCAACAAATCATGACTTTGGGCCAACGTATGATCGCTTGATGAACGCCCTATCATCTACTCGCCTTCCATGTTTATTAGTTGACAACACATTAACAAGTGATCAGATGGCCTTCAAGGCACATCTTCCAGTGGTGAGTCAAATTATGATAATTTCTTTTGTATTGAAAGATTAAAAGACCTGGAATTTTATGGTATAATCAAAGTGACTCAAACAGTAGTAACCGTTCGTTTTGGAGTCCGTATGTACGAGCTAATTTGTCGTTAATCCAATGAATACCAGATAGATTTCCTTCACAGTTGGGAGTGTTTGATATACATTAAACGTACTAATAAAATCTCAGGTACTAGTTCTCGGCTTTTTATTACCTGGAACTTAGTTTTCTGCCCGTAGTAGATTGTAGGGCATATAAGGTGTTAACACAAGAAAAGCCGTGTAAATATACTTTCTCATAATTAAAAACATGACATCTTGTCCGTTCCTTTGAAATTTATAATATTAGGTGGAGTTAATAGGTTTGTATCATTTCTCCCTGACCTTCCCATCATTGATATTCTGAAATCTCTTAAGGAAATACATTGTGATTATTTTGATCTCATATAGGAGAACAATTTATACTAATTTTTCTACTAAAAGTACTTTTCTATGCATTAAAAAGTACAACTTATTAACCAAGTATATGTTTATATTTTTGAGTGAGGCATTGTGTGATAACTTGTAATACCTTCGGAATCAATGTAAGTGGAGCTGAGTCCCAACCCATTATCCAATAGTAGAAGGCCATACCGTTTAACCACCAAGCCACTCCTTCAAATACAAGCCAGTGAAATTACAACTATTCAGCTAACGGTTATTTTCAGTAAATATCGTCCCTGCTCCTCATCTCAGGGTACCAAGTACTTCAGCTATATTATCAGAATCCGCCATGTAAACACTTAGTACCAAACCATTAGAAATTCTCAAGAAAGCGATATCCCTTGGTACTATACATGAGCCTAGTGGATGTAACAGACAAAACCAGTTAGGGTTGTGCATATCTATTTAAGCCAGACAATGTTTTTGAAATTTACCTTCCCATCATGAATTAAGTAATATGGCACGTCTATAAAACTAGTTCTGATTTTCGTTACAATTGGCATCTAGCTGACAGCCTTCGATGACTGTATTCGGTTCATATTGTTTATTCCGAATTTGTATCTGTAATGACAGGTTCTCTGTATCTTCGTTTGAATACTGTTTATGGTGTATGTTTCCGTAATAAAGTCACCTTACTACATAAGATTTTTTGGTTGAAACGAATCCAGCTTACTCCGATATTTTCCACACCGAGCGTTGCCTGGCAATCATTGAGTAGGTCTCCAAGCATTGAAGTGGGAGTTGATTTATAATGAATTTGTATGAGATGACGGAAAGTTTTCTTAAGTCAATAATTATTAATCCATTGTAACTCCTTACAGGTAGTCAATTATCACAACCGACTGTTTTCAGTTCTCTAACGTATCTCTAGTAATAATTATGCGTCAGTCTTTTTTTAGACGTAATAAAGATTTCTAAGTCTCTTTCATCATCATTTCTGATTAGTCATAAAAATTTCCTTTTATCTTCAGAATCCTACTACAGTTTCTGTGGTTCTACTTTTGTGTGAGGTTTCTGTTTCTAAGTAGAATATTTAGTATTTCTTGTTTTTAAACTACAGGTTCATTTTATGGGTTCTCGTGTAGGAGGGCAATTATTGAGTGGGGGCATATCACAAACTGAGCATTTGTTCTCAAAATACCCAGATCTAATCGCTGTCATTCCCTTATGTCCTCGTTTGGGAGATGGTGAAACTCTGTGGGTGGACCATGTCCGAGGACCGTTCCTACCTCAAGCTCTTGGGCTTTCTGCGAAAACTGGCTATCTTTTTGAAAAAGCTGTTAATTGGAGTCGCTTTATTTTGTTAAACAGCAATCAGTATCCGGCATGGATGTCTGAAGTTCAATATTCTGCGCAATGTTTGGTCAAAGAGATTATTCTAGTCTCCTCCGGCCTCTTTCCGAACGAATTAAGGTATAATAGTGACGTAAGTCTTTATGTAGTTGAGAACGTGTAACTGCTGCTGAATATTGCTTACCTATGCATGAAAATTGTACAGTAAAGTTGATAGTCACATTTACACTTTGCGGTTGCTGAAATTACGAGATATCTAATGAGTCAGTAGCTTTTTTTGTTAGTTGAATGAAATTTTGATAAAATTCTTGATTTATGAAGTTAGGTATTCTAACCACTATTTTTGTATCATGCGTGTTTCCTTTCGTAACACAAATCCATGGACTTTATAAATGCGCATACGTCTCTATACTTATTAACATAAATTACCAAGAAGTGATAGTAGAGTTTGGTCAAGTGTGAGATAAAAAAAAACAAATTATGATTTTACCAGATAGTTTTTCGTTATAGACGTATATTCAGTTGGAAAAAATACCACTCTTCCAATCACCTATTCCATTTAGTAGGACTTCAAGAAATAAGTTTTCCAACCTTTACATTTTTCTTGAGTTGTTATATTAGTCAACTTTGACTGCAACACCAAGATAGCAGTTATATTTTTGATATGACTGGAGACAACTAATCTTCTAATTATCGCTTTAATATGCAGTTGCAAAATCTCAGTGCATATTACAATATTTTTTCCTGTTTGTTTTCAGCTTATTCGCCCCAGTCTTTTCAGTCCTTTATGGTGGGACTATCTTACTTCCAAACCAGGTAGCTCAGCTAATCTTTTTTTTCTTGAAGTTACCGTTTTATTCTCGCAAAAGATATCCGAATGATATAAAGAAAATTACATTATTTATCAGACTGTCAGCATTCCGATTCCTAAAGCTTAACCAATTGTTTTTTGACATACAAGTTTGTAATTAGTCGAAGTGTTTATATTCCTAAGTGATTATCTCTATTAATAACTTTCAATATATCAATTCATGTCATCAAAACCAATACATTTTTCATATGCTTATGTTAGTGTAACGCCATCATAAGCGACACTTTAGATATTTGTAAAGGAACTACTGCAGAAAACCCGAATTTTGTAGTCCTTTCCTCTAAGATCATGATCTATTAGTAAAAGTAATACCTTTTTTGGTATTGAGGGATTTCATTGTTGTTGTCAATTCGTAATGATAATAAGTTACAGTTTGTGGAAGCATACATTAAACTGACTTATCACAAAAAATCTAAAACATTTCGATTGCTGATACTTTACAACATTCTAAAGGATTATTCCCGACCGTTGTTGCTACCTTGACGTGGTGGTCGGGCTTGCCTATCGTGATGAAGCAACCGAGCTATACTGGCTGGAACAACCGTTCCTCAAGGTCCTACCATGTCAAACAGGTCGGTTGAAGAGCGGTAAGACTAAAAGCAACAAACCTAAGGTCCGAAGGCGAAGTCGTACTGCTGACTGTACAGAGGTGTGACAGCAGTAAGGTGTTTCCTTCAGACAACCAGCATGACGGCGATGCTGCCTTCCCACAAGGAGGGGTGGTGTTAGAAAAGGTCGACCCTAGAAATGCACACCTCACCTTACCTCACGGATTTCCGTCTCCGGCGGTAAGGCCCTATGAAGAACGGAGCTAACACGTCAAAAATCTTCCACGAAAAGGCCGTGCGCGACCGGCCTCAAGCAATCGTCCCTTGGGCACTGCGGTCACGCTCTAAGGTCGCTGAGACTGCCTCTAATCCAATTCCCTTTTCAGGTACCTCCAGAAGAACCCTTCCACGGTGTGGGCAACCGGGAAGTGATAACCGCCCTCATACCTCTAACAGCACCCAAGACCACTGTATTCTAAAGGGTTATTATGTCATTTAGTAACTAATACAGTTCAGTAATCGTGTGCAAATTTGAATGTTAGCTCATACATTGCTTCTTTTGCGTAATTATCAGGAATACTACCTGGAGAAATGTATTGGCTGATTACCTACAGTTGAACGTCGAGATTTTGATCCACTGAACCTTAACTCCACCTTAATAACATTTTAAAGGGGATGATAAAATATTCTTATTCTCAGCAATCGCACAGTCTTTTTCTATACACCGCAGAGAATTCTGGGATAATTTCATTGTGAACTTCTACATTAAAGGTCTTTCGAATTGATCTCTGCAAACAACTTTAGTGAGTATATCTAAAATAGCTTCATATGTATATTTGTGTGGTTTTTTTTCATCTTCAGATGTCCGATCCCGGTATGTAACGAACAGATCAATCCAACCAAGTAATCCATCAATTTACCCCCGTAATACTGAAATGAAATGGATACAAACTAATTCCACTAGTTCTATGTTAAAATTTGTTGATAAATTCGTTTGCGAAGTTATGTGTGATATTCAAAATGCCATAAAAATGATCCAAGTCAATAAATCATCTCGTTGTAATGTAAAGAAACCTGATTCATTATCACAAAGATCTCAGAATGCGTATGAACATGAATCATCAGTCCAGTCCAATTTGAATGTAATAAACTCTCCATTAAATACAAGCAAAATGAATAACAGACTATGCAATAATGTTGGTCGATTTGCTACAAATCGTCCTGATTCTGGGTTTGTTAAATTATTTTCCTTAATTTTTTGTGAATTATGAATTATGCATCGTGTCTAACTAAAAAAAATTTAATTGGACATTTTGTTGAACATTATAAACCATCCTAGTTAAAATGATCCTATTATACAGGAAAGTAAGATTGGTCATAGTGACAGTCAGTCAGCTACAACGTAGGACCAGGCACATATATGCATCAGTCCAAGTTGCCATACCTCATTAACACAACAAGATGGACACCGGATTCATAAAAGTAGTTAATTCAGAGGTGGTAATATATAAAAGAAAGATTGCAATAAAGATATAGTGTAGGAAGAAAGAATTAGTTAGTAGAAAGAAAGATATGAAGCGATTTTAATCTCTTGGTTTAAGGGAAGACAGGGAGTGTATACACCGACGCCATTGTGATCGATTCTGAACCATGTCATCAAGAGTCTCCAACCATCGGTTACGAAAGTCACGCGGACCCCAACCAAGTAGTCTGCATCTACTAACATGGCTCAGACTAAAGTTAGTGACTTCTAACACTGATGCCACGTTTTGGTTTGGCCGTCCGTAACTTTCTTCCAACCATCTCCAGCACCGGTTAGCATTGCACGTCGTGGTAATCGGTGTTCAGGCATACGTAACACGTAGCCCAACCATCTCAGTCGATGAAGATTCACAACCTCATCAATCGATTTACCATCATTCCCTAATACCCTGCGTCTAACCTCACTATTACTTACCCGGTGATCTCAGCAGACGCCAGCAATATTTCTAAGGCATCTGTGGTCAAATACTAGTAGCTTACGAGTATCTTCTATCCTTAATAGCCAGGTTTTGCAGCCGTGAAGTAAAACAGAACGAACTGCCGCACAGTATACTCGTCTTTTTATTGATAGACGGATATCTCGCCTTCGCCATAGGTGACGTAAGTTGGCAAAAGCCAAGCGAGATTTTCGAATCCGTGCTGAGATTTCGTTAGAACTGATCAAACTTCCAAGATAAGTGAAGTTGTCAACGCGTTCGACTACTTCACTCCCTATCTTTAGTTCAGGTGTTAACGCAGACCAGTCCTGAAGCAACAACTTGCATTTAGAGGGAGAGAAGCGCATTCCAAACATTCTGGCATTGTTGCTTAGTGCTACCAGAAGATTCTGCATTTTGTCAGCGTCTTCACCAAACAGAACTATATCATCTGCGTATTCTAAGTCGATAAGTGGACCTCCTGGAAGGAGATCAATACCCGAGAATTCAGTAGACGAGAATGTTATTTCCATCAATAGGTCTATGATGAAGCTGAACAAAAATGGAGAAAGTGGACAGCCTTGATGGACACCACTTGAGGTTGCAAAAGCAGATGACAGTTTGCCATAAGCTCTGACTCGACTGGTAGTATTCGAGTAAAGAGCCTTCACAAGGTTTATGTACTTCTGAGGTAGGCCTTTCAATGACAGATACTGCCACAGAATCTCGCGGTCAACAGAGTCAAATGCTGCTTTTAAGTCAAGAAAGACTACCATCGTCGGACGCCGAGTCAGTCAGTCAGTAACAACGTAGAACTTCGTACGTACGTACATCAGTTCGAGTTGCCACACCACATTAGCACAGAGATGGCGTGGTCGATTCAAATCCCGTAGTGGTAGAGGTAATAAGAGTATAAGCAGTAATCGGAAAGATTAGTGTTTGGAGATGTTACTTAAAGAGTATAATACAGTGAAATAAACTTGGGAAGAGAAAAAAGACAAGGGGGAATCAGGAGATCAAAATTTGGGAGAACACAAAGAGTGGATGCACCTGCGCCATTGCAAACGATTTTGAGCCATGTCATTCAAGGTCTCTAACCATCGGTTGCTATCATCTCGCGGTCCCCAACCAGGTAGTCTACACCTACCAACATGACTCAGACCACTTGTCAGTGACTTCATGGATTTGTGCCATGTTTTGGTCTGGCCGCCCCTAGCTTTCTTCCAACCTACTCCTATACCACTGAACATCGCACGTCGAGGCAGTCGGTCGTTGGGCATACGTAGCACGTGTCCCAGCCATCTCAACTGATGAAGTTTCACCACTTCATCAATTGATTTGCCATCCTTACCTAGTATCCGTTTCCTAACAACTGTGTTACTTACTCGATGGTCCCATGATATACGAGTAATGTTTCGAAGACACGTATGATCGAATACTAGTAACCTACGAATATCCTCTACTCTTACCGGCCATGTTTCACTGCCATAAAGTAGGACGGGACGAACTGCTGCGCAGTAAACACGTCCTTTGGTTGGTAGACGGATATCTCGCCTACGCCATAAATGACGCAAGTTGGTAAAAGCTAGTCGAGCCTTCTGTATCCGTGCTGAGATTTCGTCACATACCAGACCACAAGGGCTGATGAGACTTCCAAGATAAGTGAAGCGGTCGACACACTCAACTACTTCACTCCCTATCACTAGTTCGGGTGTCGATGTAACCCAATCCTGAAGCAACATTTTGCATTTCGAGGGAGAGAATCGCATCCCGAACATGCTTGCATTGTTGCTTAGAGTGGTCATAAGACTCTGCATTTTGTCAGCGTCTTCACCAAATAAAACTATGTCATCAGCATATTCTAAGTCAACAAGTGAACCTCCCGGTAGAAGTTCAACCCCTGGAAATTTAGATGAGGAGAGTGTTATCTCTAAAAGTACGTCGACCACAAAGTTGAACAAGAATGGAGAGAGTGGACAGCCCTGACGAACACCACTTGAGGTAATCAATTCTGATGACAGTTCGCCATAAGCTCTCACTCTACCAGATGTGTTCGAGTAGAGAGCCTGAATAAGGTTAATGTACTTCTTTGGCACTCCTTTCAGTGACAAACACTGCCATAGAACCTTACGATCAACAGAGTCGAATGCCGCCTTAAGGTCGAGAAATACTACCATTGTGGGACGCCTGAACGTGTGTCTGTGTTCTAGAACCTGACGTAGTGTGAATATCTGATCTATACAACCACGTCCAGGTCGAAAACCGGCCTGGTTTTCTCTAATCTGCTCTTCACGAGCTTTGATTAGGCGTCGAAGTATTATTGAAGCTAATATTTTAGACACTATATTAGTCAAACTGATTCCTTTGTGATTGTCACAAGAGGACTTTTGTCCTTTCTTATAAACTGGCACAATCAGTGATTGAGACCAGTCAGATGGGATTACGTCCAGTTCCCAAATTCTACCTAAGACCTCAGTTAATCTCATTGCTAATACTGGACCACCATCCTTAAAAATCTCAGGAGTAAACCTGTCAGGGCCTGTTGCTCTCCCTCGTTTCAGATTTCCTATGGCTTTTTCAATTTCGTAAAGGGACGGAGGACCTACATTAACTTGCCATTCAGGTTGACTAGAGATCGTGGGAAACCGAAGTGTGGCTGAAGGCCAGTTGAACTGACCCCTGAAGTGTTCTGCCCATCGATCCAATCTCCTGGATTGAGAATGAATAATATGTCCATCTTTCTCTGAGATTGTTTCGCTAACGGTCGGGTTCCTAATTCCGGTTTCCTTAACGAGTCTGAACAATTGTCTGCTATTACCTATTGCCGCTGCCTTTTCCATCTCTCTTGCTTTCGCTACCCACCACTGTTCGCGATCATTGCGTAGACTTCTTGTCAGCTTGCGCTTAAGCTGACTCCGCTCTTCACTATGTTCAGAGCCAGGTGGAATGAGTTTCCGAGCATCTATCAGTGCGATAGATGCTGCTGAGATCCAGTGTTGCTCCCTAACCTTGTGGTTTACCTTACTAACAGATATCACTGCTGTTTCCACAGCTTTTCGAATATCATTTCAAGCTGCATCGGGGTGGGCATCACATACATGGCTGCCTGACTGTTTTCCTAGTTGTTCCTGAAATATACTCTTAGCTTGACTATCATTAAGTAGGCCTCTAAGAGGTTTCCTTGCAGCGTCTTTTCTACGTCCAGTAAGACGCAAGCAAATACGCGCTCGTACTAGAGCATGATCTGAATCTAAGCATGTGCTCCAGAATGAGCGACAGTCTTCTATCGAGCCCCTCCATCGGTGGCTGATAGCGATGTGATCTAGTTGGGTCCAACGTTGGGACGAATTAGGGGGTCTCCATGTTAAAAGATGTTTTTCCTTATGCTTAAAGTTAGTATTTGCAAGGAACAGGCGATTATCTGAGCATAGCTGCAACAGACGGTCGCCATTATCTGTTCTCTGCGCCACGACACCATAAGATCTTTCCCTATCGCTTAGTTTACCTACTTGAGCATTAAAGTCACCGACCACTATTACTACATCCGAGCGCCTAGCTTTTCGGAGAAGGTCGGAAAGCTTTCTGTAAAACTCATCTTTTACATCATCTGAGCTGCAGTCAGTGGGAGAATAGGCAGAAACGACGAAGAGGCAACGACGGGTGTCCCTATCTTTCCGGATTCTTACTGTTCCGTTCAGTCGGACAGCGCACAAACGGCTGTCTACTGGGATCCACTCTAAGAGAGCTAGTTCTGCTCTGGGACTCAATGCTATACCTACGCCGGCGAGGCCACGGGAAGCAGAATCAGGGCTTCCAGATACACGAAGCGTAAATCGAGTCGGTTCTTTATTTTGGCATGGTGAGGTCAAATGAATGATGCTACTTGGATCCTGTATGCGCGTTTCGGAGACGCAACACACATCGATGGCGCGAGATTCTAAAGTCCTAGCTAAGGAAGCCTGCTGTCCTATTTGGCACAGTGTTCGGACGTTAAAAGCTCCTACGTGTAGTTTAGAGCGTGGTTTCAGGAGACCAGGAATAACGTTCCACGTACTCGAATCGTTCGCCCTAGTGGTGCGAGGTGATAAAGAGACGTGAGGAGGGTTAGTCATGGAGATGAGAGAGGTATTAGGAGGTATAGGAAGGATTTGAATGTGACCAACTTGGTCTCGTGTGCTGTTACGGGTATGAGGGCTGATGTCACTTCCAGGCTGCCCACACCGTGGAAGGGTATTTCTTGAGGAACCTGGAAAGGAAATTGGATTAGTGTTGGTCTTGACGACCTGGGAGCGTGACCGCAGAGCCCAAGGGACAACTGCTTGAGGCCGGTCGCGCACGGCCTTTTTGTGGTAGGTTTTTGACGTGTTAGCTCCGTTCTTCATAGGGCCTTACCGCCGGAGACGGAAATCCGTGAGGTAAGGTGAGGTGTGACATTTTTAGGGTCGACCTTTTCTAACCCCACCCGTCCTTGTGGGAAGGCAGCATCGCTGTCATGCTGGTTGTCTGAAGGAAACACCTTACTGCTGTCACACCCCTCTACAGTCAGTAGTACGACTTCGCCCTCAGACCTTGAGTTGCTGCTTTTAGTCTTACCGTTCACCAATCGACCTGCCTGGCATGGTAGAACCTACAGGAACATATGTTCCAGCCAATATAGCTCGGTTGCTTCATCACGATAGGCAAGCCTGACCACCGCGTCAAGGTAGCAGCTTCGGTCGGGCGTCGGACGCCGATAAGTATGCTTATGTTCTAGAACCTGACGGATGGTGAATAATATGTGGTCGATGCAGCCACGACCAGGTCTGAAGCCAGCTTGATTCTCTTGTGTTTGCAGTTCACGAGTCTTAGTTAGGCGTTTGATGATTATCGAGGCTAGTATTTTAGATACTATATTAGTTAAAGTAATCCCTCTATGGTTGTCACAGGATGATTTTAACCCTCTCTTATATATTGGAACGATAAGTGATCGTGACCAGTCAGGTGGAATAGCATCTAACTCCCAGATCTTAGCTAAAATATTAATCAACCTAATCGCTAAAATTGGACCACTATCCTTAAAGACCTCTGGAGCCAATCCATTTGGACCAGCTGCCCTTCCTCGTTTCAGATTAACTATAGCCTTTTGAACTACTGCTAGAGTTAGGGGACCTACTTCAATGTTCCATTCACACTGTCTGGGAATGGAGGGTAGTTGTAGAGTGGCTGAAGGCCAGGTGAACTGTTCTCTGAAATGTTCTGGGTCAACCTCGTTTTCGGAACTACCTAATTGTAACCTCAGTTGTTCCTGGAACCTACTTTTGGTTTTCTCGCTACTCGATTCAGTTCTAATGGGTCTTTTTACTGTGGCTTTTTTGCGTCCAGTGATGTGCAAGCAGATGCGTGCCTGTATAAGGGCATGGTCGGAGTCCGAGCAGGTACTCCAGAATGAGCGATAATCTTCTACCGACCCTCTCCAACGATGACTGATGGCAATATGGTCTATTTGAGTCCATCGTTGGTTTGGTGTAGGGGGTCGCCATGTTAGACGATGTCTCTCCTTGTGCTTAAAATTTGTGTTTGCTAAAAATAAACGATTGTCTGAGCACATTTGCAGCAGACGATCTGTTCGTCGTGCCGGAATACTAAAATACCCACCTAAATGCCTTTCTGTTTGGTTTAAACTACCTATCTGGGCACTAAAGTCATAGTGACAAAACTCAATGTTGTTAGTTTTGTGGTGAGAAGAACGTCACAGTAATTGTAGGTTCAAGGATAAATCAATTGTCTGGTAGATTATTGTTTAGTGTAACAATGTTAATGTTTTTTTATAAACAACCATTTCCATTGATTCTTTTATTTCATATTTGTAAAGAAGTCGATACTAACACGGCAATTTATAATGTCTAGTTGGTAAAGATTCTTGAAGTATAGTCAGAATTTTACTATTTATATATTTTCAAAAATCCTATCTGTAAATAATCGTAGGCAAATATTCTTTAAGTTTTATTGTCATTCACTTGAGTTATCGATTTTGTCTTCAAGCAATTCGAAACCGACTCAGTATCAGTAGAAGTCAGTCATCTACAATGTAGGACTAGGCCCATATATGCATCGGTCCAAGTTCCCATACCTCGCCAGCACAAGATGAACACTAAATTCATAGAAACTGTTTCAATGATAGTAAAAAAATTTCATATAAGGATATAATACAGGGAAAAAGAAGTAGTTCGTAGAAAGAAAGGTATAAAGTAATTTCAATCTCACGGTTCGATGAAAGACAAAGAGTGTATACACCTACGCCACTGTGAACAATCCTAAGCCATGTCACCCAGGGTCTCATACCATTGGTTACGATAGTCACACGGACCTCAACCACGTAGTCTTCATCTACCAACATGGCTCAAACTAAAGTTAGTGACTTCAAGGACTGATTCCACGTTCTGGTTTGGCCGCCCCTAACCTTCTTCCATCCGTATCTAACACTAGTCAGCATTGCGCGCCGTTGTAATTGGTGTTCAGGCATACGTAATACGTGACCCAACCATCTCAGTCGATAAAGATTTACAACCTCATCAGTAGTAGCAATTTCTCATTCACATACAAAACGTTTTTATAATGTTTTTAAACTTTTTCCGCTAGTTTTTATTTGTATTTACTATATCCTATTATCTACGGTACCTACATCTGATGTTGAAAATTAAAAGCTACTAATTACCTCTAGTTCCTTTTATAGTGGGTTTTTAAATCATCAACATCGGACTATGTGTCACTAACCAATCTCCCTCTTATATATATGTATGTTTTGCTTTCAAGTCATTTTATGTATATGGGGCATTTTAACCTCATAATATTCAGTATTCGTGATTGAGGACTCATTGAGTTGTGAGTCACCAAAACTTCATAGAAACATTTATTTGCAATGATTATGGGAAGTCTTTTAGGGTCAGTCTTTTCATATATATGTTTGTCGTGGATCTCGAACGAACAAAATTACTGCTCACTACACCGTTCCTTGGAAGGTACATTAATGATACCTTCGTTTTGTGTAACAGCATAAATCATCCGGATATGATGATTAAAACTTAAAGTTCATCCTAATAATATATTCTCAATTAGACATAGAAGAAAATGCCTAGGTGTTTCTCAAGGAAATGATGAGACATACATTGGGAAATACCTAAAACCCCACAACTTCTGCCATATAATCCATAAATATGGAGTGAGGATAGGGCTCTACTATGGAGTCATAAAAGTTCAAGGAGAAGTATAGAATAACGAATAGTTTTATTTCAGAAAGTGACCACCCCTAAGCGTTTACCAAGAAACATAGTACTACATAGTGTAGTAAGATAAATGTCTACAGACTTACAAAATCATATTTTTTTCTTATCGACACTAAAAAGTGACCAAATCATTATTATGTGCCATACGTATCTTCTCTCTAAATTTTCTATTAGGTTTTTGTGTAGCCATGTTTAATTACGAAAACAAATCATTAATATTTGTAGCTATCAGCCAGTAATTATACAATATTTGTTGTTGCTATTATTAGGGTTACTTAAATTTATGTCATACATATGCGATAGTTTACACCACGAACTGACTCAAGACAGACGAACTCCTCATATCCCTGATTTCAATACTTCTTTCTACATACGTTCTTTTTGTTCCCACTTCTCAAACTGTATTTCAAATGCTTGATTTTCCTCAGTACTATGGATACCACTGCTATTTCGACTCCTCTATTATCCATCTTGGTCATTTCATCTCATGTTGAGGTTAGGCTACGTATTACGTATGCTTGAACACCAATTACAACGGCGCGCAATGCTGACTAGTGTTAGATACGGATGGAAGAAGGTTAGGGGCGGCCAAACCAGAACGTGGAATCAGTCCTTGAAGTCACTAACTTTAGTTTGAGCCATGTTGGTAGATGAAGACTACGTGGTTGAGGTCCGTGTGACTATCGTAACCAATGGTATGAGACCCTGGGTGACATGGCTTAGGATTGATCACAGTGGCGTAGGTGTATACACTCTTTGTCTTTCATCGAACCGTGAGATTGAAATTACTTTATACCTTTCTTTCTACGAACTACTTCTTTTTCCCTGTATTATATCCTTATATGAAATTTTTTTTACTATCATTGAAACAGTTTCTATGAATTTAGTGTTCATCTTGTGCTGGCGAGGTATGGGAACTTGGACCGATGCATATATGGGCCTAGTCCTACATTGTAGATGACTGACTAACTGACATCTCGTGTTGATGTCGAATATCAATGTAGACTGATACATTTGTGCCAGGTTCAATGTTGTTCATGACTGACTGACAGGTGTAAAAGCATTGAAAACTGGCACCATATAGATAGCTACCTTGTCCTAGCATGACACTCACAACCACTTCACCACCAGAAATCAAAAGAAAAAAAACCTAATCAAGTTATTTGACCAATATTTTTTTATTGCGATGGTTAACTTTAACTATTTACTAAATAAAAAAAGCATTCCTTTCTACGCTCTTCTTTTTACAGAAATGTAACCACCTCCAATTGTTTACCTCAAGTCAACTGTTCTGAACATGCGGAAGGTGATAAACCAGTTGTTTATCATTATGCTGATAACTTAGTAAAAGAACCTGTAGAATATGTATGTCGTTTCTATTTATTTGTTTATGTAATTCTTGTATATTTTTAATATCAATGAGAGTAACTATATTTTATTAGTTTCATGACACACTTTTGAAGTGATTTTCATCACGAATTATTGCCAGCTAGAAAACGTGTTACGAGCGAGTGGATTGGATTTGAATGGCATATAAATCTACCTTTGTCACTGGCTACCATGGAATAACACTATTTAATGTTATTCCACTGTTTTATGATTTGGAATCTTGCTTATTAGTTTGAAGAGTAGTGTCTTACGAGAACTGCCTTAAGTTTAGTCGCCCTGAAATCTTACATTTCACACAAACCATAACTATCACGATGAATTGAATAAAAAATATGTACTCGCTCTCTTTAATCGCTAAAAATTAACAGTTATGAAGAATTCATTTCTATTGTTTGTTTAAATCCTCACATTAATATTTATGATTTTAATTTATAAGGCAATAGTGTTTAAAGCGAACAGTACTCGATTTGATTCATGGATTGAACATCAACTCTGAGATCCAGGTACATCCAACTGAAAAGTCCAAAATAGGTCAAAATGCGCATACTAAATCTCACTATTAGTCACCATCCATTTCTGCTTAAAAGTTATAAAAGGTTTAAAATTATAACTTGTTATTTGCAATGTGAGTTACTAAACTAAGTGCCCTTATGAACTGCAGATCTTTATACCTTCAATCGGAAAGTAGTTTAGGTAAAATCCAATCAACATTATTGTGTATTACTTCTTAAAACAAGATTTAGTGTTTACTTAGATCCTATATACGTACGTATTTTATTTCTTGGTTTGAACTTTCTTTTGATAGAGCCAACAGTTATCCGTTTTACATACTCATCATTTGTATACATATGTTGATAAACTAATTTCTAATGCATTCCAAAATGCCAACAAATTAATGAGTTGGTCGAATCTAATGTCTAAGCAAATACTTGATGAAGTCAAATATTCATGTATGTCCCGTAATCATAATAATGGATCAAATATGATGAAGTCAATGATCAGTGATATGGCTGTTGAATTTAATAAAACAAATTCTCTCACTAATGCTGCCGATAACCGGTTACATGAAGATGACTATATAGATGAAAAATCTCCACAACATCAAATAAATCAACAGAATGGTTCTTTCGAGTGTGAGAAAAGATGTCCCACAGACTATCTAGATGAAAAACAGTCCCATCAAATCCTAAATAACTGTCCATCTCCAGAGTTGTTTCATAAATTTTCAACAAATAATTCTTCATTAGTTAAGGTAATTTCGTTTGCAAACAATTACTTAAAATTCCTATCTATTTAACTTTAAATGGGCTAAATTATAAACTAGAGACCATTATGACTGTATCCCGAATGTGGCTACTACCTTGATGTGGAGGTTAGGTTTGGCTATCATGATGACGCAACCGAGCTTTATTGGCTGAAACACATGTTCCTTTAGGTCTACCATGCCAGTCAGGTCGGTTGGAGAACAGTAAGAGTAAAATCAGCAACTTAAAGCCCTTAGGTGAGGTCGTACTTCTGACTGTAGAGGGGTGCGACATCAGTAAGGTGTTTCCCTTGAACAACCAGGATCTACAGCGATGCTGTCTTCTCACAACAGAAGGAAAAGGTTTAAAAAGTTCGACTCTAAAAAATTTGTACCTCACCTTACCCCACGGATTTCCACCTCTAGTGACAAAGTTTTTCGAAATGCGAAGCTAACACATCAAAAATTTCCCATAAAAAGGCTTTGGTTGATCCACAGTCACGCTCCCAGGTCCCTAAGACTACCACTAATTCAGCTTCTTTTTCAAGCCCATCAAGGAAATATGTCATCCCACTGTCTGGACAACCAGTAGAGATTATTCTTAAAGTTTTCTCTTGATTAGCTCGAATGACTGTGTATACTCTCCTATCTTTACAACCACAACAAAACTAATAGACTTTTAACTAGTGTTAACTTTAATATTGACACAACAACAACTAACGATTGGGTTATTCTTCGTAACTTAAAATAATTGTTTCTCCGAATCTAGTTAGTGGTAAGATTTTTGTACTTTACACATTTTCTCACTGTATCTTCATACCGTATTTAAGCATGTCTTGTTATATGATATACTTTATTGAGATTGTAAACCGATCTAAGTTAGACAACCACTGAAAAAACTGAGCGGCCGTTTTGTCCTAACGTGAAACTCCTCATAAACATGCATATACGACCCCGTAGGGATCAAATCCAAGACCTTCAGTCTCGCAGCGTATGCTTAATCTCCAGACTACTAAAGCGGGACCTATTGGTGTACTAGTTTAACTTCGATCCATGATATTGCCAGCTGTCCAGTGCTTCCGGGTTTTCAATGGTTGTCTAACATAGATCATTTCGTGATCTCAGTAAAATTTAACATTCTCCACAACCCTACACTGGTACAATACATTATCTATGGAGTTGAAGGCTTTTTTTAAACTGGCTTAATTTGTATATCTTATTCGTCACAGATTGGGTGCATATTGCTGAGGAGTCCCATACTAGGATGAAACAACTATTTAGGGGTTCCTGGCTTCCTATAGTACCAAAACTGAGATGATTCTGTGACAGATACAATCTACATTGCTTATTTCATTAATTATTGTTCAACAGCTATCAAAATATAACGTGCATAAGTAAATTGTTGGTTAGTGAATTTAACTTCATTTCTAGCATATTAATACGCATCAGTCTCAACTTCATTAACTAAAATACATAAAACCTTCAATAATAATATCAATATTTGTAACTTAAGACTATTTCCAAATAATACAAAGTCTTAAAACAAGGATGAATTCTTTTTATTCTGTAAGTTTTATCGTTCTCGCCTCATCTAAATTTATCAAGGGGAATAGTTTGTATTAAAACATCAAATCATATATTTTATGGCATACCATTATAATGCCGTAAATGCCCAAGTATCATTCGTGCTTTATTGTGTTTTCCATAATTTATTGTACATTCGATCAATTATCCATGAATCAAAATGACTATACTGTTATTGTTCCCTTTGCTTTTCTGTAGATAGTAGTGCTATTCATTTTAGAAAAATCAGCTTATTTATGTTATTCACATTAAAAAGATCTGTCGAAAACTGTTTTCAGTTTTAAGTGGGGAGTTAGTTTTGCTTGTTAATTAGAGTTCCAACCAACCACTGCTAATTGATTTTTGACGAAATGTATGCTTGGTACAAACGGGATATCTTAGTATTACCCAGGCTGTGTTATGTGTAACACCGAAAATCAATTTTCTCAAGCCTGACCTAAAACCCTAAAACATGACTTTAAGTGAAAAAACCTGAAAAAGTTCCAACCATTAATTGGTGCCTACTCCCTGCTACTATCCAAACGTTATTCATGTATGATGAAGCAAATTTTAATTTTAACTATAGGGTTTACCGTAATATATATAAACCATATCGATAAATTCCTTCGAATAGCCCTGATAAAGTGATGAAAATTTTATTATGTTTATTGAATAATACTATTCTAACTACCTTTCATTCTTTCAGGATACTAATGAACAATACATGAAGAAACATTCGATTAAATACTCAGATCAATTGATATCAAGTTGTATAAATTCCGAAAAACTCCTGTCTATACAACCAAACTCCATTATGAATGGTTTACCTCATGGTTTAATTTCAGAAAAACTCTTCGAATTTTCAAATAGTATAGCTGTACAATGTCTTATTTCAGCATTCGGGGAAATTTACATCCAAAGAATGTCTTATCATTTAAATCAAGTGTGTTTTTGAGAATGATTATTTTCTCCATTATTTTTTTAATTATCTAAAATTAAAAATTATTTTTAAATGATTTTTAACGGTAGGATTTGAGAATTATGTTACACTCTGTTTTCTTAACTCGTTCACTAATTTTACTGCTGCCCAATAGTCGATGTTGTGATCAATCAAACTAACAAACGAACACAGTAAAAGTTATGATTATTATTATTTATTTATTTTAACACATAAATATTGGTACACGGAGGCACCAAATACATATGCGCCACATAAATCATTCCATTTTTGTAAGGGCTAGGATACCATCCGGGTACTCAAACCGAAGCAGGTGATTTTCTTAGTGAGTCACACTCTGAGTCATGTGAGAGCACTTCGAGAGGGATAGCGGACTCTCCCTAACCTCGGCCGTACCAGAGCATTTGCTATTCATCGAATGAAAGTACCACTATACTAAATAAATTATTCATATAGTTTATTTTACTACGTGACTAAGTAAATACCACTTGTATTAGTTAAAATTGTAACTCTTAAATAAGTTTCATAAAAACATCTCGTTGAGAACCTGAAATTCTCTTATTGAAATTCGGTTATAATCCAAGTTTTCTTTGAACTTCTAACCTAACTTTGATACAAATACATAAGTATGAAGACTGAAGTTGAAAGGAAAATTGGATTATAACCGAATTCGAATGAAAAAATCTCAGGTTCTCAACCAAATATTTTTATTAATGCAACAAATCTTTGATACAAATTAATAAGTATGGAAACTGTTGTATTTTGTTTTCTCACATTTTATTATCAGAAATCCACTGACTATATATTTACATTATAATTACTATTATTACAACCTAACCAACTAATATGTTTCGATAATGTAATAAGAAGACGAAGATTATCGAAATTTATCAAAGAGACTAATTACTTTAAATAACTAATATGTATTATGTTGTTGTGTTCTATAGCTTACGTATTTGACTTCGAACTATTGAAAAAAAAACACTTGCAAGCTATATTGTATAGTTTGGAATCGCTAAGGATACGTATATTGTATATAACTTAGTGTATAACTTTACAAAGAGCTGCTAAGCTACCAACTGTTGTTGTCATCAACATAGTGTCTTATTCAGATGAATTTCTACTGAAGATCATTAGCTATGTACTGTTGTATGTAATAGACATTAAGGCTTGTTGATTGCATTCGTGCATGCCACTTTATTATCAGAAGGGCTACATGTAGATTACTGGGTCATAATTTAGCAAATCACATTTTTTAACTACATCAGTGGCCAGCCACTAAGTCACAGGTTTGTAACCCACTCTCTCTACTTCGGTCTGGGCAACTGAATAGTATCACTAGCCTTTGTGTTTGGAATGTAGTTTTGAGCCAAATAAACTAATCTGTCCCTGGTAGATGAATCAAATTCAACTTCAGTTGATATTTATCATTGACTTCTCAGATGACTGGATCATATCGTTAGTTATTTACCAGAGGTTTTTGTCTTTTACCCTTTTCTGTAATTTTAAAGAATCCTTCAATAAATACAACTCCTGACTTTATCATCAGCAACAATAATCAAGATCCATCGGAATTAAATCAATACAATCATTCGAACATACGACCTCCAGGTTTAATATTAGACTGTGGGCTAGAAGAATATTCCTCCAACTATTACGCAGATCCACAACTACGTATTTTAATCCAATGGATATCAGCTACACTAGTTTATAATTCTCCTTGTTCTAAATTGAGTTATTTAGGTAGTAAAATAAATTCATTTCCAGATAATAAAAATAATGATAATAGTGAAGTAAACAAAGAATTAAAATATTTCAAAGATGAAATTTCCATGGAACACTCGTGTTCACCTTTGGTTTGTTGTACAAATGGCAATTCAAAATTAAAAGAGGTAAGTTATTTACGAATATTACTTATTAAATAATCAGTAGTTATATAGTGCTTAAGTTTCAACTACAAAGTTGCAACTTGAAAAAACTCCGTTCCGCTCACTTCACTTTGAACAGCCTACTGTTATCATCATCGTAGCAGTTTATGATGTAGTCTTAGAGACTACATTGGACAATTAACTTGATGCTTTGATGACAACCGGATTTTGTGAAAATCCACTTAAGACGCTTAAAGTCTTAAACTCTCACTAGTTAAGTAATCAGTTTGAACGCTTACTGCTACTGCTTTAAGCTGGTTATAAATTTACGCGGACGTCGTTGTCGTTAATGTTGACAAGCACAGCTTTTAGTTTTTGGGTCGATGGATCACAGAGTACTTATCACTTGCAAACACGAACAAAGTGGATACGAAAAAACGGGATTTACAAACTAGTGATTAAGTTTTGGTTATTGGAGACAATAACCCATTAATAGCTGGCTTAAAGGGACGGTAGTAAGTGTTAAACGGGAAGAAGATGGCTTTGTTAGGTGGACAGACATTAGAACATCGAAAGGATTAATCAGTTGAGATATATATATCTATTGGAAGGTGGAGACGATTAAGGAATCGAGATCAGAAGGACTCACCAAAGCAACTGTAGCAAGAAAAAATTGTGCCATTTTTGTACCTGCGTGTTTTCAAACTAAGTACCCAATTAGTGAGAGTAAGAAAAGACATGCTGTCTTTGTGGGATGGTATTAAGTTCGCTTGCATTTTGTCCTTTATCCTCCCCTCATTCGACTGATTTTTCGTTCATTATTTTATATTACTTGCTAATATTCAGTAACCAGTTTCGTTTATAATAATCCCTGAACGTATGATGTAGTGTCCACTTTTCGTTGTGAAATATTCTCAAGCATTTACTTAAATCAATAACATTTGCTTTATTTACCAATATACTTACGCTCTGTCAACCCTTATGACAGTCACTTTCAGTTTTTGTGTGTTCTTTGAATCTTTGTTCAGACGCAAAGACTTTCATATTTGTGAGTTTCTAGCCCCCATTTTAATTGTTGATAATCGTTATTGACTCTAGACACAGCTACCGACGGTTATTTATGCTATCATAAGTTGTAATAAATGCTTTTGTCATAACCACAAGAAGCATCTTTCTTTTCAGGTATACAGAAACGTCAACTTAAATTGTTTAGTTAGACACTTCGATAGAACTAACACTAACCTTAATCCCAAGGATAGCGGTTTTATAATTCACACTTCCCTGAATGTTGAAATTGTATCATAAACCAAGGTTGGAACGCTTAGATAGTAAATTTTTTTTAATGGAGATAAAAATAAGGTGGAATCAAAATCATAAGAAATATTATATATTAGACAAATATTGCCGGATACCTGAGTGATTGTAATGAGTCAATAATATCTGCAAGTCACATTATTAAGTAATAATGATAATAGTAAATAATTCATCCAAAAGCGTAATTAGCAATACTACTTTACCAAAACTTCCTTTTTATTTTAGATTGACAAGTTTATGATATTCATTGATATCCTTTGACACAATCTTAGTTCAAATAGTTCTGGAAAATATAAGCCAAACATAGTGACAATTAGATTGTTATTTAAATTATTCCTTTGCTTAATTGATTTTTTTTGTGGTTGGTATTTTCAATGAATATATATATATATATATATATATATATATATATATATATATATATATATATATATATATATATATATATAGTCAAATTGATATACCATATGTATTTCATTAGCCTTTTTAATTTTTACCTTCATTATTAGCTTCAAACCGTTGTTTCACTGGTATACAAAGCTTCATGGACTGCTAAAGATTTATTTTGTGCCATATTGGATTATTTTCATTATAGATCTGAGCATTTAAAACATTCAAATAATGATGATAATAATAATGATCGTTTTATTCAATTACAAAAGAATAATCATGATACTTATTATTCAACTTGTTTCAATTTTCCAACTATATCAACATCAGAAGAAAAATCCAAGAGAACCGTTTTATCTTTATTTGATTATCTCATTCAACAGTTTCACAATGTTCAATAAATATTCTTATTTTTCTTCTTAAAAAATGTTTCTTTTCAATTAGTTTTTCATCATCGCTTTACACTAATATGTATATATAAATGATTCGTAATCATGAAATAATACTCATCAAGTGGATACGTTACGTAATAATCATATAATAACATATCGATGATAAACTAGTATCGAGTAAGTGGAAGAAAGAGGATTAATCATAATCAATGTAATTATTCGAAAATCAAGTAGTTGCTACGTTGCATAATATATAAAAAACGAGAAAAGAAGGAACTAAGAGAATATTTTTTGATAAATGGTCAGTATCATATTTATATATGTATAAGTGTAAAGTTATGATAAAGAACTAAATGAAAAGAAATTTCTTCTTACACTTCGTTCCATTTTTATTTACCAAATGTCAAAATGGGAATTTTTAGTAGATTAAAAAGAAAAAAAAGTTTTTCTCTTTTATCTTTGAACACATTGAATGTGCACAGATTTCTGAATAAACTGTAAAAGATTATTGAAAAAAAGAAACAAATTATGAGTATTTACATTTGTTTATTCATGTTAATCAATTAATTGTAATATTCATTTTGATATGAATTATTATTATGATAATTAATTCAAAGAGAAGATTAATTAATTTTTATTAAATTTTATTATTTATTTATTTATTTTAACACATATGATATTGGTACAAGGAGTCACCAAATATATATGCGCCAAACAGATCTCATTTGATATGTGTGAGGGCTGTGATACTGCCCGGGTTCCCAAACCGAAGCAGATGGTTATCTTAGGGAGCCACACCCGGAGCCTTCGACCTACAGGTCTGATCCACCAGGCAATGGAGCAACCTAAGGAGATGCAGTCCCATGATAACCAGTAACCAACGATTAGTTCATACGCCATTTGTTCCTTCGGGATGCTGGAGCCCATATGCACCATTGGTTTGTAATCAGGGTTTTCCAACTCCTTTAGGTGGACTTTCCATGTCCACCAACCCGGTTAAAGTGCTGGACATTCGCTTTTTGTCCTCTCAATTTCGTAAACAACAGTAATGCCACGAGAAGGCAGTGAGTAGGACTTCCCTGGTAGAGACCATATACGCGTGGCCATGTAAGAGCATTTCGAGAGGGAGAGCAGACCCTCTCTAACCTCGGCCATACCAGGGCATTTGGGGGCCATTTTATTAAATAGTCTCATATAAATCATTGTGTAATTTTTTTTAGAAATAATCAGTCAGTTAAGTAACAACGTTAAACTTCGTACGTATGTACATACATCAGTTCGAGTTTTAAAAAAGTAATGTTTAATTAACAAATTGATTACAAAATAAGTTAGATTCTTTAAAAAAAACAGATTATCGATTTCAATTTAAGAGAATAGATGGTCTGTGTTAATCCTGACAATGATGATCTATCAGTTGATTTAAATTTCTTTTGAAAGAGTCAATAAATGGAGCTTAAATCACATGTTAAGGTAATGAATTCCATCCGTTGATGATTCATTTGGGAAAGTCGATAGTTAGCTGACAAGTAATTTGTTCTGGACTTCTGAACTTTTTTGTTTTTTTAGTGTTCTCTTAAATTCTCTGTTTTGGTCGACAAGAAAAATGAGGGCATATGAAATGTAAATTTATCATTAAGTAATTTGAAGTCTCTTCTGGTTCTTCAATATAACAAAGGAAATAAGTTTAGTTTAGCCAGTCAAGCATCACATGTAAGAATAAAAACAATAATTTGTTTAAAATGTGGTTAATTTGATGTTGTTGTAACATATTGAATCGTTGTTGACCGATCACATAAATATTTTTATACTTTTTTAACTAGACATGAACAATGTAGTATTCTTATTGTTGTTTCACTTATTCTAACATGGTGTAGCTTTTGGTTCCCTGTTTAATAGTCAGTCAGCTACAACGCAGAACCAGGCACATATGTGCATCGGTCCAGGTTGCCATACCTCATTAGCACACCGGATTCATAGGAGTGGTTAGGTCAAAGGTGGTAATATATAGGAGAAAGATTGCAATAAGGATATAGTATAGGAGGAAAGAAAGATTTGAAGTGATTTTAATCTCTTAGTTTAAGGGAAGACAGGGAGTGTATACACCGACGCCATTGTGACCGATAGTGAATTTTTCAACAAATAAATATTGTAAATTCACTTGGTATTGTTTACTTGAATTTTCTCATTGATGTTTAGGGATGTAATTGATCAGTCTCTTATTGGCATATGTGAGTCTTGTGCGTATTACCTCGATTTTGCCTTAATTCACAAGCATTATAAGCAAAGATAGATAGTGGCTAGCAGTGGGAACCAGGACACGCGTTTCGTCCTATTTGGGACTTGTCAGCTAGATGTACCTGCATCTCAGAGTTGATGCTCACTCTGGGACTCCGACCCAGTACCGTTCGCTTCAAATATCATCGCGTTATCCATTTAGCTACTGAATCCTGTTAGCCACCTGCTTGTGCAACGGGGTGAAGTTTAAATTCACTTGGTATTGTTTACTTGAATCTTCGAATTTATGTTTAGGACTGCAATTGATCAGTCTTATCGGCATGTTTCTATTGTGTAATTTATATTTTGAAAAGTGTTTGTAGTTAAGTATGCCTAGTTTAGAGTTAAGATCTTTTTCATAGATAATATAACAGTTGGTTTCTTAGTATTTGTTCTATTGAAGAACAATCTCGTGAATATACTCCTTAGAAATGAATAAAGGATGGAAGCGAATAGTTTCGATCATGTACCCTCATGATCCTTCACTCTTGATGTATGTATATGGTTAGATATGTTTCCCACTCTACTGTGATCAGTTACACATGAATAGTGGTCGGCTCAACCATTCCGTTAGATTTAGGTTTATAACCAATTTGTGATTTTTATTCAAAGTTCCACTTCTACCCTTAGCGCTTATTACCAATTCATCCCGTCCGTATATGTATAAAAAAGACCAGATACTCTACAAATTATGCGTTTATTAAAATATCCCCGTTTGTGTATCTATTTCTGTTGTAAGATCCAGCAACTAGTCACCTAGTGTAGAATAATCTTTTATACCTTGGTAGGAAACATACTCCCTATATATCTTGTTAAATAACAATCACTTTCAAGATTATAATGTAAATATACGCTAGATACTAGTAAAGTTGACGGTAGCTAGTTGAATAATAAAACATTATTACATAACATTTCACCATTATATTTTCAGTTCTTTAGATAGTCACGTTTTCAGCATACAGTAGGCTGTTCGTACAATGTCATTCAATAAATATTCTAAACAAATCTCTATCCAATGTGAAATTCAACTGTTCATAGCACATTAAGTTCTATTTGTAATCGTAATTGTTTGCCTGTATATAACGCGGAAACTAATTCATATAACCTTATCTCTTTCTGTCTAAAAGCTTGATGTTATTTCTAGAAAACTTTCAAACAAACATCCACTCGGCGTAAGGTCTTTCCTTAACAATAAACGCTTATAATTTTAATTTCGAGCATTAAATGACAATTAACAAATGGGAGGAAACATAGTTGATATGTAATTCTTGGCTTAATTTCCATGTTTCAACACTCATCATGATAAAGTCATTGTAACGTTGATTAATTGGAAACAAAAACTAAATATCAGAGCACCTCAATGTTGTATTGCTTTCTCTATCATTTACAATGAAATAACATCATGTTATTCTAAATAATAACCCTCATTTTCGTAGCTTTAGACACATTAATTGATCTCTAAAGAAGTACAAATCATCTTACCAATGAATACTAACAATGTCGAAATTCCCCTCGTTTTAGTCCTTATGTTAAACTAGTTTTTTAATAGAAAATACAGTGATGCATTGTGACGCTATCAAGTTTCTTTTTAGTTCGTTATGTCTACTTTAGAAATTTGAATGACAATTAACATTAGACACGAGACACAGATTGGTTATTCTGTGAAGATAATGCAATAGATTAAAACTGATATAATAATATTCTGACGAATCAACTTGATGAGCTAAATTCTTCGATATTAAAACGTCTCCAGAAGCTAACTTGCCAGTTGAGTATTGTTATTTTCATTTGTATATCTGAATCTTTGTTTTTTTTTACAACAATTTTTCCCACACAAACCTTTTATTATTATTTTCATTACGCTGTCTCCTTGATAACTCGTGAGTTTTTTCAGTGTGTTACTCCATCTTATTTCAAATATTCTAAACATCTTTTTAGACACATGTGTTATTTGCTTGAATCAATCTTCCTCAATCCTTATCAAACAATCTTCCATAAAAGGTCGGCTTTTGAAAGTAGCTGGAGTTAGAAAGTAAATACAGCTATGATATCCTTTTATCGAATTGTGGTGCAAGTTAAACTGTACTATCTAATGATTAATCATACTGACAGTATTTTTTTGGACAAAAAACCATAATATATATGTGATATTTCATGCCATATTTCAATGATCTAAACAAATCGGATTATATTTCCATCTTGAAATTAGATGGTGGTTGGAGGTAGTCGACAAGAAACCCAGGTTTCGTGCTACTTGGCACTCGTCAGCAAGATGTACCTGTAATCTTGAGGGAACTGGTGCTCCCTGGCGAATTCGATCTCGTGTCACCCAGCTTCGCAGTCAGTCATGCAGCACAAAACCCGGGTTCAGGGTTTCCTGTCGACTACCTCCAACCATCATCTGATCTCAATATATAGTGCCCGCAGTGTCAAGTCACCTAGACTGGTGGCCACATTGCAACATGATCGATAGCATTCGATCTGCACTAATAAGTACTAGACACGCATGACATTGATCACCATCCAGTGATCAATCAATTGTGATTATATTTCCATCTATTTTTGATCTGGTTCTTAACAATAATAATACTTGCTCTATCTGATATCATATATTTGCTTACAGTGAATAATTCTGAGCACTAAATATTAAAACAAAATTTACAATTTATATAAGTATTTAACTAGTGAATATTCAGAAGAATATTTTATAAAACTTTCCAAATAGTGGTCAGTTGTTGTTGTTGATATACCTGTTTAATTAGTTTTTCTTGAATGATATCTCTTTTCATATTTGAATAGATTCAATAAATAAAATCTATGGTAATCACTTTTCGTTTTTCCAAAGGGGAGAACAATATATAAACCACTATGATAACGCTTCTTGATTATCTAAGTGATTAGTTTTATCACAAATTTTTTTTAAACATTTTTTAACTGCCTTTGAATACACCCGATCAACAGACCTAAATAAAACACAATTGTATGAACGAAGAATATTCTTTTCAATGAATTTCTCATCAAGTTCTACAATTATAAATCCAGATTAATAATCCATAAAATTGGCCAGATTTAAGGCAGAGAGTACATCATTTGGAAATTGTAATATGTGAATTAAGAATTGTTGTTTGTTATATCAAATGAAATCAAATCGTTCATGTTGAGGTTGACTAATATAAAGTGTTAACTTGAATTAGTTTATAAGTGAAACGAAATTGTGAGATAAATTATCCAAATAAATATGTTCAACATGGGGTGTGAGAGAGAGTGAATAATGGAATAAAAGTCACAAATTACGTAATACGTAGAATAATATGAATCAGGTCAAATATAGTAGATTCAGGGGTGGATATTGAATAAATTCCTCAAAA